TCTCCTGCTTCCACCCGCATTTTGTTTCTGCGGTAGCACTCCACGCCTATCCCTTCCTCGCAAGCGGGGCCCAAGCGCAGGGCCCGTCCTTTGGACGGTGGGCCCTCGTGGCGTTAGGGAAACCCCGCCGGAGTTGCTCACACGCCTCACAATGCCGCGGGTCGTCTACGACGAACCCGGGATATAAAATGCCTTCGGCGTTGGGCGAGCCACGGTGGTTCGGAGCCGCAGCCCCTGGCGCAACCAACGGCTGAACCTGCCGCACCTTGGCCTTCTTCTCCTTGTCCTCATCCTCCTGGTCCCCCGGTTTGACCTTCTTGCCCGCCGCAATCGGCTTCGACGAAAGCGGCTTCCGCACCACGAACGGCTTCGACGAACGTGGCTTCCCCTTGGTCACAGGCTCCGGGCGGTCCTTGCACGCAGGAGAGGGAGTCTCTTCGGCACTTGACTCCGAACTCGAGCTTGAGAACATGCTTGAGCCGGAGTCAAACTCCTCAGAGACTTCTTCCCCCGCAGCTTTCACTTCCTTTTCCAATTTGGTGATCTTGGCCCTCACATCGGACAACAAGCCTTTCTTGGTCTTCACGAGATCACGGAGGTCGCCCTTGCGTTTAGCGTACTCCGCGCGGAGCACACGCAAGGAGCGCCTCTGAGCCATCATGCTTGTTGCCATTACACGGGGCATGATCACGTAGATAGGATAGGGAAAGGGAGGCAGGATGCAAGAATATTCCGAAAGGCTCATAACCGAAACAGCACGCAAAGACGCAAATGCCTCTTGCTGTGTGACACATGCACTGCGACAAGGTGGCTTGCTACCTAGCACCTCATAAGCATTGCACGTACTAGCTGCTGATGTCCGCTCCCTCTCTCTCTCTCTCTCTCTCTCTCTCTCTCTCTCTCCCCACACGCAATAATCACTAAGCAAAACAGGCTGGCCGTACGCCATGGGCAAAGACGTCGTCAATGAAATGCCTGCATCGTCCTCGTCTTTATGCAGGTTAGAAGACACAAGCAAAACATAACTACCAGAAATACTAACCAGATAAACACACGTATGAACATGACGAATATGATGAAAACACTTCAGATGAAGACTACGATGAAGACGATGAAAGATGATGAAGATGATGAAATATGATGAAAGATGATGAAAGATGAGGAAGATGAAGAAGATGATGAAAGATGACGAAGATGAAGAAGATGATGAAACATGACGAAGATGATGAAGATGATGAAGAAGATGAAGGTGATGAAGATGAACGAGCTGAGGGAGATGAATGAGATGATGAAGATGGGGGAGATGAGGCAGATGAAGGAGATGATAAAGATGAAGATGATGGAGTTGAACGAGCTCAGCGAGATGAACGAGATGAAGGAGATGATGAAGATGATGGAGATGATGGAGATGATGGAGATGATGAAGATGATGAAGATGAAGGAAAAGAAGGAGATGAAGGAGATGACGAAAAAGATGAAAATGATGATGGCGCAAAAAAGGGCAGGGGGCACCCACCCACAATTACATAATTTAAGTAATTTAAATCCGAAAGGGGGGTTCGGATTTAAATTATTTAACGTATTTAATTCCCCCCCCGGAAATAAATAATTCAAATAATTTAAATAGTTTAAATAATCTAAATAATTTAAATGATTTAAATCCGAAAAGGGGGGGGGGGGTCCTGCTGCTCCCCCCCCCCCTTTTCGGATTTAAATTATTTAAACGATTTAAATTATTTAAATTACTGAAATTATTTAAATTGTTTAAATTATTTAATTCCAGGGGGGAATTAAATAATATAAATAATTTAAATCTGAAAGGAGGGGGTTCGGATTAAAAATATCTAAATTATTTAATTCCCCCCCGGAATTAAATAATTTAAATAATTTACATAATTTAAATCCAAAAATGGGGGGGGCCAGGCCCGACCAGCCCCCCCCCCCCCCCCCCCCCAGAAATTAAATACTTTAAATAATTTATTTCCGAAAGGGTGTTTCGGATTTAAATAACTTCTGGAAGGGGGGGGGGAACCTGGTCCTGCTGCTCCCCCCCCCTTTTCGGATTTAAATTATTTAAAATTATTATTTAAATTATAATTATTTAAATTATATTATTTCCAGGGGGGATTTAAATAATTTAAAATCGAAAAGGGGGGGTTCGCATCTAATTATTTAATTATTTAATCCCCCCGGACTTAAATAATTTTAACAATTTTAAATAAATTTTTAAATAATTTAACTCCAAAAAGGGGGGGGCGGGCAGGCCCGACCAGCCCCCCCCCCCCCCCCCCCCCCAGAATTAAATATTTTAAATAATTTAATTCCGAAAGGGGTGTTTCGGATTTAAATTATTTAAATTATTTAATTCTGGGAAGGGGGGGGGGGGGACCTGGTCCTGCTGCTCCCCCCCCCTCCCTTTTCGGATTTAAATTATTTAAATTATTTAAATTATTTAAATTATTTAAATTATTTAAATTATTTAAATTATTTAAATTATTTAAATTATTTAAACTATTTAAATTATCTAAATTATGTAATTCTAATTTAAATAATGTAGATCTGAAAGGGGTGGTTCGGATTTAAATTATTTAAATTATTTAATTCCCCCCCGGAATTAAATAATTTAAATAATTTAAATAATTTGAATAACTTAAATAATTTAAATAATTTAAATAATTTAAATAGTTTAAATAATTTAAATAATTTAAATAATTTAAATCCGACAGGGGGGGGGGCAGGCCCGACCAGGCCCCCCCGCCCAGAATTAAATAATTTAAATAATTTAATTCCGAAAGGGGTGTTTCGGATTTAAATTAATTAAATTGTTTAATTGTGGGAAGGAGGGGGGAAGCTGGTCCTGCTCCCCCCCTCCCCTTTTCGGATTTAAATTATTTAAATTATTTAAATTCTGTAAATTATGTACATTTTTTAAATTATTTAATTCCTTGCCCCAGACCCCCCAGAAACGATAACAGGGTCTATTTGGAAGTTGGCTCTTGTAAATAAGTATACGTTTTGGGGCCTTATTTCCTCTTTAAAATACGAGCCTCAGCTTCCAAATAGACCCTATTTAAGCTGCACACCCCCCCCCAAAAAAAACAAAAATCATCCTAAACCCCAGCCCTAAACCCTAAACGAGTTCAAGGTTCTTCGGTTGGGGAGCTCTCGTTTTCTGCTCTTTCTGCTCTCTTTATGCTGTAGGGGGGAGCTGGGAGCGCCTTTAGGGTTTAGGGTTTGAGCAGAGCGGATCCTCGATGTTCAAAACCTCCTAAAGCCCTAAAGCCCTAAACCCCCTTCCCCCTATATCTTGGGGCAGTTGCATGGCCCTTTAATATCGGCCCTTAAAGAGGAACCCCCTTATATATCCCTTATGTTCCCCCCTACGGGCGCATGCATCAGAACCCCTTAAAGAGGGCAAGGGACCATATTAAGGGCCCATGAAACTATCCTTAGACTATGATAAACTCTGATGAGCCTTTAGGAACCCTGTCAAGTGCCCTTACAAACCCTTCTCAACCCCCAGAAACCTGGAACCAAAAAAACGTCCCATTGCAATTGCAGGGCTGTTTGCCCACTCACTCCGGCAGCACGCTCCTGTGGAAACAAAGGAAAAAAGGGGCCCGAAAAATATGTTCGTATATATATATATATTACACACACATATATATCGTCAACCCCCTCTCTCTCTCTCCCTCTCCCTCTCTCTCTCTCGGTCGGTCGGACTTCGATCAGGGGCACTGCCTGAAGTCTTGAGCATTGCCCCATCGCACCAAGGGGATCTAGCCTGTGGGGACTCGGCACTCTGTGCGCGTGAGATGACCGTTGAATCAGTTGAATTCCGGGTCCTTGTTTCTAGGTTGCCCAGCAACCTAGGATTAAAAAGGGTGCCCGTTTTTTGCTTAAAGGGGTTTATAGGGGAACCTAGAGCCCCCCCAAAAAGGGAATAAGGGCACTACTGGGCATCCTAGGTTTGCACAAGTAGTTCTGTTTTAGCCTGTTCTCAGGCTTACCTTCACCTGCTTAAAGGTGCAAGAGCTGTGTGCTCTGACAAGTTGGCTCTCGTGGTGAGGGTTGCACGGGCAATCAGCCCCATCAATTTGCCGGTTCAGGGTTTAGGGTTTAGGGTTTTAGGGTTTTAGGGTTTTAGGGTTTTAGGGTTTAGGGTTTAGGGTTTAGGGTTTAGGGTTTAGGGTTTAGGGTTTAGGGTTTAGGGTTTAGGGTTTAGGGGTTGTCCAAGCCGTGGTTTTCCACCCACAAGTGGGCGCAAGAGCTGTAAGGCGAGCCTGCTCACCTTCTTCCCATTGCCGGGTTTAGGGTTTAGGGTTTAGGGTTTAGGGTTTAGGGTTTAGGGTTTAGGGTTTAGGGTTTAGGGTGAAATCTTCATGCCGCTCGTCCTTCTCGCGGGGATCCAGGCCTTGGTACTCGGCGCCGTACTCCAAGAGCCAACTCTACTATTTGCTTAAGAACCCCCGAAAAAACCAGCAAACAATCATCCCTATACTACCCTTGCTAAGGAAGAATATTTTACATGTCTTGGGGGGGGTTCTTAAGCACTTGGTAGAATTCTGGTCCACGAGCATGACTCTTTCCTCGGCCCTCGGACGCAGCCCGGATCGGAACTCTGTGCCTGCAACACCCGAAAGCCTAAACCCTAAACCCCTAAACCCCATTTCCCCCCAGCTCCCCCCCCTTCACCCAGCCCCGGATCACCGAAAGCTACGCCCTAAACTAGGAACTCCCTCTAGGCCCTAATTAAACCCTAAACCCTGAACAGGCCCTGAACCTTAAACCTGGAGCCCGAAAACCCCTGCCTGTGCCTCCAAAATTGTCGGTTACAACCTACAAACCTCCAAAAACCCGCCCAAAACAGTAGGTATATGGAGCCAAGGTCTCTAAATCCCCAAAACCCCAAACCCCAAACCCCAAACCCTAAACCTAAACCCTAAACCCTAAACCCTCACCCCTGAGGAATCCTTGGGCCCCTTGGGCCTTCGCTGCCGTCACCACTTCCCGGCTGCCAGGCAGAGTGCGCCAAGACCTGCTCAGCTAGGGTTTAGGGTTTAGGGTTTAGGGTTTAGGGTTTAGGGTTTAGGGTTTAGGGTTTAGGGTTTAGGGTTTAGGGTTTAGGGTTTAGGGTTTAGGGTTTAGGGTTTAGGGGTTAGGGGTCAGGGTTTAGGGGTCAGGGTTTAGGGGTTGTTTATCTTTCAAGGTTTACAGGGTCTACAAAATGGTAGTTCTCTACATTAGGGTCCCTTTTGGGGCCTTTTTGGTAAGGGTGCCGTACTATGGGATACCCAAAAAGGAACCCAATTTAGAGAACTACCCATCGATGGGGGGTTTTGTAATGGGATGTGTTTAAAGGGTTTGTAGCGTTTATACAAGGGCTTTATTTTCTCAGGGTTTTTGATCGGGTTTATGGGATGTGTTTATGGGCGTTTGTAGGGTTTATTATTGTCTTTGACGGTATTTACAAGATCCTAACCTTAAACCTTAAAAAACAAAACAAAAACATGGAACTACAATGGAGACTATAGGTATATAAAACCTCTATACACCCCACATAAACCCCATTCAGGGCCTAAACCCTTAAGCAAAAACCACAAGAAACCCTCTAAACACCCTGTTCACCCTCCATGAGCCCCCAAAAACCCTGCGTAAAACCTAAAGTCGCTAAACCCTAAACCCTAAACCCTAAACCCTAAACCCCAAAAACTGAAGACCTGACTGGGCACACTTGGGGTCAGCCGAGCCGCCCAAGCAGAGGGTCCAATGGCTGCCATACACGAAGTGGAGGCTGGCGGAGTTTTAGGTTTAGGGTTTAGGGTTTAGGGTTTAGGGTTTAGGGCTCAGGGGCTTCAGGGGTTTCAAGGGTACTTGGAGGTTCGTGCGGTCCTTGTAACCTTTACCATAACTGCACTTGTAAGCCACCTAAGTCCCCTAAGTAGGTAAGTAAACTTTATAATTGGGGTTATACGTACCCATGAACCTCCAAGTATAAGGTTTAGTGTTTGAGGGGGTTAGAGTTGAGGGGCTTTCAGTTTGGGGGGTCAAGCGATATAGAGATTTAGGAGTGGTTTAAGGTTTGAGGGGCTTATGGGGTGGAGGCTTTTTGGGGGTCTCCTAACTGGGGACATGCCCGTTTTTGATCCCCATGCTACCTGCTATCAAAAGGATTCCCCTAACCCAAAGCCCAAAACCCCAAGCCTCTAAAACCCTGAAACGCTCAAACCTAAAAAAACCCAACAACCTCAGCCCTAATCCCTAAAACACCCTAAAACCCTCAATCCAAAAAAGTACAAATGCCCTCAACCCTCAACCCTCAACCCTACAACCCTACCCTAAACACCCTACAGCCGATCAACCTAAACCCCAAAAACCCTATAACCCTCAATCCCGAAAAGCCCCTAAGGCCCTGACCCCTAAACCCTAAAGCCCTGAAAACCCTAAAGCTCTCAACCTAAACCCTAAAAACCCCAAAGCCCCAACCCTGAACAACCTAAAACCCCCAACCCAAAACCCTAAAAAACCCAAGGCCCTCAACCCCTAAAACACCCCAAAAAGCCTAAACCCTAAACCCTAAACACTGCCAACCAGTGCCGGCAGGTCGTGGCGGCTTTCAGGGGCGGCTTTACCCCATAGAGCCGGTTCGTAGCCTCAGCTCTTCTTTGGTAAGAAATGATTAGGGTTTAGGGCTTAGTGTAGGTTTCCGGGTTTAGGGTTTTGGGTGTAGCCACACCTCCTCGCTTTTGAGAAGAAATGATTAGGGTGTAGGGTCTGCGGTTTATAGGCTTAAGGGTTCAGGGTTTCGGGTTGAGGGACCCAGCAGTTGAGTCTTAGCTGGGTTCAGGTTTGCAGTGCTGCAAGGTTCAGATCCCGTGTGTCTTCACTGAGACCGGAAATTTGGGAACGCACGCCCTGAATGAGCCCTAAAATTGGGGGGGGGGGGGGGTCCATACAATACTTCCTATTGAGCTACTATCGGGGTCGGCATAATCACGAATGGTACTCCCTTATGGTCCCTAGCATTTACCCACCGCGCCCCCCCCCCCCCCCCCCCAAAAAAAAAAAAACAACAACAAACACATACACAACAATAACAATAATAATAATAATGATAATAGAAATAATTATTATTCTTAATATATATATATATATATATATATATACAGTAATAGTTATTATTTTTAATATATATATATATATATACATATTCTAATTTTCAAGGCCCCTAAGCTGCATGAACCAGACTTCGGCCTCTCGGGTCGAAGGTGCTGAGAGGCCTATGGGTCTCTTCTTCCCACGGACGCACAGCTGCCTACATAGCAGGGCCCCTTTTTTCAGCACCAAAGAGCCCATCTCCTGAACCCTATAACCCTATAACCCTAAACCCTAAACCCTAAACCCTAAACCCTAAATCTCCAAACCCTATCTCCTGAACCCTAAACCCTACATCCTAAACCCCTCTCTCCCCATTTTCTTCCCTCTCTCCCCATGTCCTTCCCTGGCTCTTACCCACAGAAAACCTCTGAGGTCGCTGGCGTCCAGCGACCAGGAGCCTGTTGCAGAGGCGCTTGAGGGGGTTTAAGGTCTAGGATTTAGGGTTCAGGGTAGAGGGTTTCACTTCTGAGGGTTTAGGATTTATGGTTTTTGGATCGGGCCACAGTAGGGGACTAGGGTTCAGAGAACCAAGGGTCCAGGGCTTCGGGTTTAGGGGGCCAACGCAGTTAAGCACAGCCAGCCCTGCGTCGGGACGGCTCAGTGATAACTTGAACGTAGCGGGAGACAGAATGTGCTTCGCCTAGGGTTGACGGCTCAGGCTTCAAGATTTGATGCCGTCCTAGGAGCAACCCAGCAACAGAAGAGGGTGCCCCTTTTTGGGGTTAAGGGGATTTCAAGGGAACCCTAAAACAAGGGTATAAGGGCCTACCCCGGGTCCTAGGGTACATCTGCTTTGGGCATCAGGGGTTCGGTGCCCTGCCATCACCTCATCCAAGTATGAGGTTTGCTTGGCCTCGGCGTGGCTTTGCTGATCCATGGGTGAGTAGCGATGCTCCACATCTGCCTGAAGCTCTAGGGTTTCGGGTTTAGGGTTTAGGGTTTAGGGTTTAAGTTTAGGGTTTAGTTCAAGGAGCCTGGTTTTGGGACGACGTCAGGATTGACAGGGATGGCTCCCCAACGAGGGCTTGTCTTCGTCTCGACAGCCAACCCGACCGGTGGCAAGATAGGTACGTTTTGCCAGGACACCAGATGTGCCGCTGGATGGCGGGTGACGCCGGCGTGGCACAGCGGGCAGGTCATATTAATATCCTGACCTCCGCCTGAGAGTGACTTTGTGAACATTCTGAGGCTTGCTACTTCATCCGCAACTGCTGGATGTGGTCTCAGGTGCATTGGGTTTGGGGTGTGTAGGGTTTAGGGTTCAAGGGTTTCGGGTGTGCAGGCTTTGGGGTCATAGGGTGTATGTGTTTAGGACGTGTTGATATAGGTGCCCTAGAAAGTAATGTTCTTAGTTCTATGGTTATATAGGGCTATATAGGGATGAGGGCGCATGGAACTGTGCCCTGTATTCCAGTCTTGGCTTGTGCACTTTTAGTATACCAAAAAGAGTGTAACGTGTACTCGTTCGACAACTAAGTTAGTTTGGAGGACCTAAACCTTTCTCTACCCCGCGCCTTCAAACCTTGCTGCCCCAGCACAGAATATGAAGGGAGAAGGTAGCCTAGGAATGACACGGGTACCCTCTTTGATGTGAGGGCCTGAACCCCAGAACCTAAGCAAAATGCAAAACACAAGGGAATCAAGGGCCTACTCTGGGTCCTGGGTAGCCCTAAACCCTAGACCCTAAACCTTCCCAAAAAAAGGGAATAGGGGCCCATTCTGGGTCCGAGAATGGGTTGGGGAACATCTGGGAAATCATAAAGACGGTCAGTGAGTCGTCCCAGCCAGCATGTTTGTGACTTGCGAGCCAGCTGAGCTTAAGCATCCACTGTCATGGGTTCAGGGCTTGGGGTTTAGGGTTATACTACCCCCCCCCCCCCTAGGTTCCTCTCAGAAAAAGGGCCGTTTAGACTCATTTAGACAATTAAGCCAATTAAGGTTGTTAAGCGGGAGAACGGGTAGCATAGAGGGGGGCAGCACAGTAGGGGAACCCTTGACATTGGACAACAGAGCGCACGTGCAAAAGTCGTGCCGCAGATGAAGAGACTGCACTTTTAAAAGCTGCATGTTTAGGGTGTAAGGGTTTTACAGGGTGGGGCCCCCTAGTTATAAGTAGAGTTATAAGGGCCCTAAATTGGGTTATAAGGACCCTAAGTTAGGTTATAAGTCCCTTAACTACAGTTAGTATAGTAAGGGGGCCCCACCCTGTAGGGCTGACTTGTAGCATGCTTAAGAATGTGCCATGTGCCAGGAAGTCCGGAAGCTCCATTGGACCCCCCAAATTGTAGCAATCGGACAACGGACCTATACGCCCTAGGCCTAGCCGATGATTTCGATGCTGAAGCCATAAGCCCTTAAACCCTAAACCCTAGACCCTAAACCCTGAACCCTAAACCCTGAACCCTAAACCCTAAACCCTAAACCGATGCTGGAATGGCAAAAGATAAGGGGGCGCCTGTGCTCAGCAGCCAGATCAAATTCGCAGGCAAAGACAAAAACCTTGGGAAGGAACTCGAAGCAGGGGCGAGGGGTTTGGGGTTTAGGGTTTAGGGTTTAGGGTTTAGGGTTTAGGGTTTAGGGTTTGGGGCTTAGGGTTTAGGGTTTAGGGTTTAGGGTCTAGGAATTAAGGGTTTATGGTTCCTAGGTCGCTACAAGTTTTACTGCCAGCGTCCCAAAAGCCCTGCAGAAGGTTTAGGGGTTTAACGCTTGTTGAGGCTTTTTGGGGTTTGGGGTTTGGGGACAAGGGTGCCCCTAAACCCTAAAGCCACCCGAAAAATAAAAAACAACCTACACCCAAAGGCCTACCTAGACCCCTGGGAGGGTCCAAAAAGTAGCACCCGCAAATAGTACCCCATACTGCTATTGGGTCATTCTCAGAGGATCTACTCTTGCGGTCCTCCCAAAATTCCGGGTAACCCTAAACCCTAAGCCCTAAACCCTGAACCCTTTCGGAGCCTAAACCCTAAACCCTAAACCCTAAACCCTAAACCCTAAACCCTAAACCCTAAACCCTAAACCCTAAACCCTAAACCCTAAACCCTAAACCCTAAACCCGAGGCCCGCACGCCGCCGCAGCGGTCACGCTGGGCCAGAAGAGGAGGATTGCCCCTGTGGTTGGGAAAAGATGCAGAAAGCCTCAGGGCGAAGCAGACTTCGTAAGGGTTTAGGGTTTAGGGCTTAGGGCTTAGGGTTTAGGGTTTAGGGTTTAGGGTTTAGGGTTTAGGATTGAGGGTTGAGGGTTTAGGGTATAGGGGCCGCTGACTCCCTGAAGCCTTCCAAACGAGGTTTAGGGTGTAGGCTTTAGGGTTTAGGGAAGGCGGCCACGTCTGTGTAGTACCAGGAGGTACGTCGTGGGTGGGCAAGTCCAGCCACCAACCAAGTTAAACGTGGCCCGTGGACCCCAGAAAACCTAAACTCCCCAAACCCAAAACCCTGAAAACCCCCTCCAAACTCGTCAGCGTAGTAAGAAAAGAAGAAGGGGGCTTGAAGGTTTGAGGCCAAGAGGTTTGGGGTTTAGGACTTCTACTTCACCAATGCCAAGGCAGAAAACAGGGTTAAGCTATATTGTCTACTGCCAAATAAGGCCCCCCAGAAAAAGTTCAACTATTGGGTAAGCAAAAGGGTGCTTTCTGTCCCTAAGCTAGGCATGAGCATGGCACCCTGTCGTTGTCGAATGTGGGAAAAACCCTAAAACCTCATGAACCCTACACCCTAAACTCTATGAACCCCAAGCTCTACAAATCCTAAACCTTAAACTCTATAAACCCTAAACCCTCAACTCTCTATAAACCCTGCACCCTAAACCCTCAACCCTGAACCCATAAGGGATTACAACAGGTACCCTGTATATACCCTTTAAGGGAGTATATAGGGTACCCTATATATACCCCATAAGGGTTGCAGATGTCGAGTTCGGGGGGTGTTTAGGGTTTAGGGTTTAGGGTTTAGGGTTTAGGGTTTAGGGGTATGGCGAGCTCGGGAGGCGGAGTGGTCTGCGGAGCCACGGAGCTTGGGTTAGGGCAAGGGGGAGCTGGGGTTCAGGGTGCTCTACAAGAAGAATTGAACCCCTGCAGGTTTAGGGTTTAGGGTTTAGGGTTTAGGGTTTAGGGTTTAGGGTTTAGGGTTTAGGGTTTAGGGTTTAGGGTTTAGGGTTTAGGGTTTAGGGCAAGTTTTAGGGTTTAGGGCTTAAGAAGAATCCTGACAGCCCTATCCCTTCGACTCAACCAGCCCCAAAAAACCTGATATCACAAGGCCGATAAGCCCTGTTGAGCCCAAAAAAAACTTAAATAAATATAGGGTATAGGTTCAGAGTTTACGGCTTAAGGCTTAGGGTTTATGGGGCTTAGGGCTTAGGGTTTTAGGGTTTTAGGGTTTTAGGGTTTTAGGGTTTTAGGGTTTTAGGGTTTTAGGGTTTTAGGGTTTTAGGGTTTTAGGGTTTTAGGGTTTTAGGGTCTTAGGGTTCAAAAAACCTCGAACCCACCCTTCCAAGCCCCGCCTCTGAAAGACTCCCCGCCTCCCCCAACTGTTGGGATTTCTTGGGTGTCTAGGGCCAAGGGTAACCTGGGGAATAAAACAGGGCACCCTGTTTTGGAGTACAGGGGTTTAGACACCTAAACCCCAAAAAAAAGGAATGAGGGCCGAGTCTGGGTCCAGGTTGTCTAAACCTTAAGCCCTAAGCCCCAAACAAAAGGGATAAGGGCCCACTTGGGGTCATAGGGTGCTTGGGATATGGGTTTTCGTTTTTGGGTTGAGGGTTGAAGCTCTAGGGCTTCGAGGGGCTTAGGATTTGGGGTTCTCCAACCCCCCCTTCCAAAAACAAAAACGGACCCTAACTCAGTGCCCAAGTTCTTGGGGCGTCGTAAGGAAAAGGTTTGAGTTTTCCAGGGCGAAGAGCGCCGCATCAACTAGCAGCAGCTGAGCCTTTCTTGTGAATGCGGGGTGCCCCCCTGAGCTGACGCTGCACAGAACTGCTGTCGCCACCAAAGCCGGGATCGCCCCAGGTCACAACAGATCCATCGCCGAGGATCGCGGCAAAAGCAAACATAGAAGCTTGGATGTGTTGCACGCCCCTCAGCTGAGCTTGCACTGCACTGCTGTCGCCACCATAACAAGAAGCGCCCCAGGTCACAACAGAGCCATCACCGAGGATTGCGGCAAAAGCACCTAGAGAAGCTTGGATTTGCTGCACACCTTTCAGCTCAGCTTGCACTGCACTGCTGTCGCCACCATACCAAGCGCCGCCCCAAGTCACAACAGATCCATCAGTGAGGACCGCCGCAAAGGCACGTTCAGAAGCTTGGACGTGCTTCACGCCCTTCAGCTGCGCTTGCACTGCACTGCTGTCGCCACCTAAATCGGCATCGCCCCAGGTCACAACGGATCCATCACCGAGGATCGCCGCAAAGGCACGTTTAGAAGCTTGGATGCGCTGCACGCCCTTCAGCTGAGCTTGGACAGAATTGCTGTCGCCGCCAGAATTATCGTGGCCCCAGGTCACAACAGATCCATCATCGAGGATCGCGGCAAAGGCACATTCAGCAGCTTGGATATGCTTGACGCCCTTCAACTTAGCTTGCACCGAACTACTGTCGCCACCAGCAACTGCATCGCCCCAGGTCACGACCGATCCATCACCGAGGATCGCGGCAAAAGCAGCTAAAGAAGCTTGAATGTGCTGCACGCCCTTCAGCTGAGCTTGCACTGCGCTGCTGTCGCCACCTAAATCAGCATGACCCCAGGTGACAACAGATCCATCACCCAGGATCGCTGCAAAGGCACGTGCTGCACGTTTAGGAGTTTGGATGCCCTGCACGCCCTTCAGCTGACCTTGCACAGAAGAGCTGTCGCCGCCAGAAACAGCATCGCCCCAGGTCACAACGGATCCATCACCGAGCATCGCGGCAAACGCACATTCAGCAGCTTGGATATGCTTGACGCCCTTCAGCTGAGCTTGCACGGAACTGCTGTCACCGCCCCAATCAGCGTCGCCCCAGGTCACGACCGATTCATCACCGAGGATCGCAGCAAAAGCATATCGAGACGCTTGGATGCGCTGCACGCCTTTCAGCTGAGCTTGCACGGAACTGCTGTCGCCATTAGAAAAGGCATCGCCCCAGGTTACAACAGAGCCATCGCCGAGAAGCGCTGCAAAACCAGGACCCTCGACCACTTGCGGCAGCCGTATTTGCAGGCACAGCTCATCACGGCTCTGTATCCTTGCCCGCTTAACCGTCAGTGCTGCATTCAGCATGTGGCCATCAGCACTCAACAGCCGCCCTTTGCCAACAGCCAAAGCGCTCTGCGCACGTTGGTTCAATTCTTCCACAGATGCATCTTCCTGAATCTCAAGAGACGCCCTCCTGCCACTGAGCAGATGCACATCAACAGAAATTGCCATGGCCGGTGGAACTAAAGCCTACACGCTGACTCAAAGAGGTGATGAGCACAACAAACCTAGACAGTCACACTACTCCGCACCTCCCTCTGACTGAGAGCAAATTTACGCTATCACCCCGAAACCTGCCAATTCGTCGGGTATGTATGACTCACGAAATACAAGCTATAGCACCCACGCCGTAAACCATACGCCCTAAACCACCCAAAACCCCAAAATCCCAAACCCTAAACACCCTCCATGCGGCCAAAGTGCAGTCCCCCAAAGCCTAAACCGCAAACCCCAAACCCTAAACCCTAAACCCTAAACCCCAAACCTAAACCCTAAACCCCAACCCCCCCCCCCCCCATGCGGCCGAAGCGCAGTCCCCTAAACGCGTGGCCGCACGGAAGCTCCGCGTGGCGGCGATGCGGCGGATGAGCGCCGAATGGCTCGGGCAGGCGTGCACCTCGCTTGATGAAAGCTATATGGGGGGGTTTAGGGTTTAGGGTTTAGGGTTTAGGGTTTAGAGTTTAGGGTTTAGGGTTTAGGGCTGGCCCTAAACCCTAAACCCGAAACCCGAACTCCTAAAACCCTTATAACCTCAGGATTTTAGGTTTTAGGTTCCCGAGGATGATCCTTGGGGTGTGAATAGCTTTGAGGGTTCAGGGCTTTGAGGAACACAGGGTTTAAAGGGGGTTTAGGGTTTAGTTAGGGTTTAGGGTTTAGGGTAATATGGCTGCGGGAGGCTTAGGGTTTGGCTAATTTGGGGGTATATGGGTTTGGAGACCCTGAACGCCAAGCCCTAAACCCTAAACTCTAAACCCTTTGAATCCTTAGGCGGGTTTGAGGGGTTTTAGGGGTTCGAGGGGTTTTAGGCTTGATGGGCATTAAGGGGTTTAACGGCTTAGGGTTCTTGAAATGTTCAAGAATCCCATCGCCCTGCTGCCCCTGGCCCCTTCCCTTCTCGACCTTGCGGCCCGCTGCATGCTCAGTCTTCGGGCGTTGTCTTGAGGCGGCCCAATACCCTAAACCCTACACCCCAAACCCTAAACCCCTAACCCCTAAACCCTATAAGGGCATGGAACGAAAAGAGGGTAGATGCCGCAGATCTTGCGGTTCTAGGGTCAAGGGTTTAGGGCGCGGCGGGCTTCACCCTAAACCCTACACCCTGGTGTACAGGTTTAGGGTTCAACCTGTAGGGTTTAGGGTTGAGGTTGTTTAGGGTGACACCCAAACGGAAAGGGAACAAGGTAGTTACTACTGGGATCTATGCACCCTCAACCCCGGACCCTCAACCCCGAACAACGCCTTGAGCCTACACAAGGAAAAAACCTTCAAAAGCCTAAAAGAACCCGTCTCAAGCCCTGAACCCCACCCAAAGGCTCCTATGTAGTACCTGTTGCATAGTATACCACAATCCCCTGTAACTCACCCCCCCCCCCAAAAAAAAAAAAAAGAAAAGAACCACATTGGAGCCTTCAGGTAAACCCTAAACCCTAAACCCTAAACCCTAAACCCTAAACCCTAAACCCTAAACCCTAAACCCTAAACCCTAAAACGCTAACCCCTAACCCATAGAAACCCCCAGCTCATTCAGGCTAGACTCCATTGGGTCCACGATCCAGGTGTCGATCAGCGAGGCGAAGGCGTGCGGAGCCAGAACCTGTGTTGAATAGGGTTTAGGGTTTAGGGTTGAGGGTTTAGGGTTTAGTTTTTTTTTTTTTGGGGGGGGGGGGAGGGGGTGGCGGGGGGTTGGGGTTGTCTTGTAAAGGGTGTTTGTTTAAAGGGTTTTGGGTGGTTTTTTGGGGGCTCTAAACATAATAAGGGTCCTTTCTGTGTCCTAGGATCTTTTAGGGTTCAGGGCTGTATAGTTCAGATGTTTAGGGTTAAGGGTGTATGTAGTCACGGGTTGCAGAACTTGCGCGCTCGATGTTTTCCACTCAATCCCGTGCTCTTGTGTCGCTCGGCACCTACAAACTCAGACCCCAACGTGCGTAATCAGGGTTGAGGACTTTTCAGTTTAAGGGTTAGGGGTATTCTTAGCTTTGGAGTAGACCCTGGAAAAGAAGTATATACTTTTTAGGTATAAGTAGCTATAATCGGAACCCAGAACCAAAAAAAGTATTAAAGTATAGTACTCCAAGACCCAGTATTTCTTAAGGTTTGAGGTTTAAGTTTATGCCTTAGGACTTATTTATGGTTTGTAGGTTCGGAGCTATACCCCGAGAAGTATACCATATCTCTTGTCTTTGTGAACTGGGGGAGTAAGGTTTGGGTCTTAATTAGGTTTGGGGATTCGAAGACTACAATACGGCGCCCTACAAAAAAGATCCAGCATAACCCGGAACCCGAAATCCCAAATCCCAAGCCAAACCAGCAAAACCAAAGCCTCTAGAACAAGAACTTCCCCGAACCCCAACACTCTCAACCCGGTCTAAATTCTAAACCCCAAGTCTTGGGCCCTGCCACAACTAAAAGCCACAAGCAGGTTGAAAGGTTTGTTAGCGGCTTCCCTGCCTTTGATGGGTGCATGCGGGTATCATGCTGTGTAGGCTTTTAAAAAAATATTTTGGGGGGGCGGGGTTAATCCTATACCCTAAACCCTAAACTCCAATTTGTAGCTCCGGAGACGCATTGGCTTGGAATTAGGGTTAGGGTTTAGGATTTAGGTTTAGGGTTGAGGGTTTAAGGTTGAGGGTAATTAGAATAGGGTTTTGGGGGGGGGTTATTCTAGTATAGTTATATAGGGACCATGAGGAACTTCCGACCCCTTCTACCTATCGTGAAGGGTTTACAGGGCTTATAGGGGCTTAGGGGTTTACGTGAGTCCCGAGGCTACTATAGGAACCCTTTTGAAGGCCCAAGTGCATGCTATATAGCAGTTTCAATTCTAAGTTTATAGCATAGGGTTTAGGGTTTAGGGTTTAGGGTTTAGGCTTTAGGGTTTAGGGTTTAGGGGTTCAGGTACATGGGCCGCGAGGAAGAAATAAATGTTGAGCTGCACTCTTGGAAATAGCGACGAATGTAGGCACCAGCCTCCGCTGGTCTGTGGAGCGGAAACTTTGTGTGAAACCAGCATCTCCTGGCTCCATTTGTTCTTGCCCGCGGCAGAAGTTCGCGCACGCGAGTCTGACATGGCCCTTGTACGGCCCAGTCCGGAACATGTGGGGCGTGAGGGCGTAGCCGCAGCTGCCGCAGCGGCCCCATTTTGGGAGCTCGCTTAGTGGCACGGGTGTCTGCGCCTGCCGTGGCTTGCACGACTGTAGGCGCCGCACATGTGGCAGATGTGCTGAAGGCCCCTTTGCCGCTGAACTCTGCTCAGTGATTGCTGGCTGTGTTCCTCTGGCAAATACTTGCAATGCGCTCCTGCTTCTGACTTTGAGTAGGGCAGACCTGCGGGTGCGGCGCCGCCCCAGCCAAGAGGAATGTGCTTTACTCCTGAGCTTCCTAAACCCTAAACCCTAAACCCTGAACCCTGCACCCTAAACCTACACCCCAAGTACATCCGAAACCGTCACCTCTCTTGGGCATTGGAGGGGACCCCAATCTCAAATTTGGGGGGGGGGGGAGGTCATCGAGCCGAACGCCCTGAAACCCTAAACCCTAAACCCTGAACCCTGCACCCTAAACCCTAAACCCTGAACCCTAAGCCCTAAACCCTAACTCAATCAAAAAGGTGAACCCCAGACGCGCGAACATTCTTTCATCCCTCATCCCTCAACCCCAAAAACGTTATAGGGGTTTAGGACTTAGGGATTTAGGGTTTCGGTTGTTAGGGTTTAGGGGTTTAGGGCTCAAGGATTGAGGGATTCAGGGATTAGGGGATTCAGGGTTTAGCTGGGTTGGCCTGTCAACCCTCCGAAAAAATTTGTATATAGGGTCCCTTACAAGCCAACCTGCTTAGGGTTTTAGAGATAGGGTTTAGGGTTTAGGGTTTAGGGTTTAGGGTTTAGGGTTTAGGGTTTAGGGTTTAGGGTTTAGGGTTTAGGGTAACCCAAACACCACATGAGAAGATCGGGCCTGGACCCCGTAGAAGCCTGTCGCAGTCGTGGCTGCGCAGCAGCACGTCATGCCCTGGACCGCAGGGGGTTTAGGGTTTAGGGTTTAGGGTTCTTAGGGTTTAGGGGTTAGGGTTTAGGCTTTAGGGCTTAGGGTTTAGGGTTGGCTTCGACTTTGGAGGCATTGTAGCGCTGATCGAGTCTTTATGGAGTTTGCAGGGTAGAGAGGGTTTAGGGTTTCGGGTTTAGGGTTTAGGGTTTAAGGTAGTTTAGGGTTTAGGGTTTAGGGTTTGGTGTTTGGGGTTGGGGTTTGGGCTTCGGACGCTCCTTTCTTGCGTGTCCCCCCAAAACAACTGGAACTAAGGGAAGAGACCCTCTTTACTGGAAGCGCCCCCTGCAAGACCCTAAACCCTAAACCCTAAACCCTAAACCCTCTTGGTCGGCTTTAGGATGCCATTGGCATCAAATCACCGCGCGCGGTCCCGCGTCGCGTTTGCGGTGACCTTATGCTGTTCGACTTACCCAGAGGCCCAGAGGGTCGGTCCATTTGTAGTACTACTATACTTGGCTGCACTTAGGAAGGTAGGAAAAAATACTTTTAGCTGCCTTATTAAGAAACCCAAGAAACCCAAAAAGGCGAAAGATGTAAAGTTACAGTAAAGCACCACAAAGTATAATTCGGCAAATTTAGGGTTTGGGGTGCAAGGCTTTTTTCTCCCGAAGGGTCCATTTGCAGTACCGTTATTGAAATATCCAAAAAACCATACTATATAGGGTCTTTGGGTTCCTAATTCCAGACTAGTACTACAAATGGCCCCTCTGGGTTATGCACTTGGGCCACAACCCTAAACCCTAAACACTAAACACTAAACACTAAACCCTGAACACTAAACCCTAACCCTAAACCTTCCTACTGCTGCTTCAGGCGCTCGGCGCGCTCAAGCGCTGCAAGTTTTCGCACAAGTTTTCGCACGCCGCTCTCATCAGAATGGCCGACTGTGGCCTTGAGATCAGCTGCCACCACGGCATAGCTTTCATTGAAAAGCCGCCTCAAGCGAGCTGTTTCGGCCAATTTGCCATGGAATCCAGGCCCTCTGCTTTCAATGCGGTGGACCCCTAAGGTTGTGCTCTTGGGTTTGGGGACCCTGTTTAAAGATCCTCGAAGCGAGTATAAGGGCCATATCAAGAGTAGATTAAGGGAACCTCTTTGGGGGTACATCCTTAGGGGCACCAGTTTGACTCCCTTGAACCTAGTCTTTCGGGAACTTCTGCACAGAGCTAGAAGAAGAAAACACCCCTGTGCTACAGGCTTAAGGTCCATAGTCCTAAACCCTAACACCTAAACTCTAAGCCGAAGCCCTAAACCCTAAACCCTAAACCCTATACCCTAAACCCTAAAGCCTGAACCCCGCTGCCCCTTACTTAGCACGGCCTTAAGATTCAGTGGGTGCCCACTCACCCCTGTGCCTGCAGAAGCTGCAGAGCGGGCTCGGGCAAACTCGAGCCCGTCCTGAATCGCTGACTTAGGGTTTAGGGTTTAGGGTTTAGGGTTTAGGGTTTAGGGTTTAGGGTTTAGGGTTCAGGGGGATAGGGTTTAGGGGTTTAGGGTTCAGGGTTGAGGGTGTAGGGCTGCGAAGTCACAGGTTCTGGGTCACACCAATACAACCCTAAGTACTATATGAACCCTAAACCCTGCAGATCCTCTAAACCCCAACAGCCCTACAAACCCTGCAAAATTTGCATCCCTACAAGCCCCATCCCTACAAACCCTATAAAGTTATTCCTATATCACAGCAACCCGCTTAGCTTTCGGCACCAGAAAACCTCCAGTCAGGAATCCGACATGCAAGCTAGGTGCCTTTGTCGCAAAGGGGGGGGAAGGGGGGGGGAGGGGCGCTTGGGGGTGCAGGTTTAAGGGAGGCTTTAGGGTTAGGACTCTGTGTTGCGTACAAACCAGCTACATGCCGCGATCTCGCCAAGCGACATCGTCAGCCACCCTCTTCGAGGGTTTAAGGTTTTGGGTTAGGGTTTAGGGTTTAGGGTTTCGGGTTTAGGGGCTCATCGGCTTTTGCAAGCATCTGAAGGGTTTACAGGGCTTATAGCTTTGGGGTCATCCGTCATCCTACCTTACCCACACTAACCCTTGGCAGCAGAGACCCGAAATTTCTAAAATCCCGAAGTCCCCACAAGAACCCAAAGGGTTCATGTACCTATTTAGTATAGGGTTTAGGGTTTAGGGTTTAGGGTTTGGTGTTTAGGGTTTAGGGTTTGGGGTTTAGGGTTTAAGGTGTCATAAGGTGTATACTTGGCCCGTTTAGGGGTTCCCATAAATAGTAGCTTCAAGGCGCAAGAATGATATGGTTACATAGGCACATGGACCCTTAAGGTCTAGAAGCAATAAGCAACCCCCTAAACCCTAAACCCTAAACCCTAAACCCTAAACCCTAAACCCTAAACCCTCAACCCTAAACCCTAAACCCTGAACTGTACACGCTTGAATGAGCTTAAGGTCTAGAAGTACAGGCAACCTCAGGCCCCGAATGCCCCCAACACAGTTCGCTAAGCCGGATGGATCTGCCACTTCCAGCGTCTAGGCTTTAGGGTTTAGGGTTTAGGGTTTAGGGTTTAGGGTTTAGGGTTTAGGGTTTAGGGTTTAGGGTTTAGGGTTTAGGGTTTAGGGTTTAGGGTTTAGGGTTTAGGGTTTAGGGTTTGCAAAACCTAAACCCCAAACCCCAAACCACTTCTTCGGCGAGATCCCGGTGGGCCAACAAAACAATCTACCAGACCATGCGAAAGGCAGGGCGCCAAAAGGAAGGGCTTAGGGTTTAGGGTTTAGGGTTTAGGGTTTAGGGCTTAGGGTTTAGGGCTTAGGGCTTCGGGTTTAGGGTTTAGGGTTGTGGGTTTAGGGTTTAGGGTTAAGGGTTGTGGTCTAAGTGTTAAGGGCTTTGGGTTAAGGGTTTTGGGTTAAGGGTTTTGGGTTTAGGGTTTTGGGTTTAGGGTTAAGGTTTCTAGGGTCTAGGGTCCAGGGCCGGAAATCCCCGCACTGCGGGATACAAGCCTGGACATCTCCTGGCCAAACGTGAACCAAAGGCCTCAGAGAGTAGGCGGAGGCGCCAGGAAGGGATCCAAAAAGGGTTAGGGTTCAGGGCTCGGGGTTCTTCAAAGTTCAGGGTTCAGGGTTTAGGGTTCAGGGTTCAGGGTTTAAGGGGTTTAGGGGTTTAGGGATTAGGGGTTGAGGGGTTGAGGGGGGTTAAGCGGTGCAGGGGTTTGAGGGGTTTAGGGCTCCCGCGAGGTTTGAGGGCTTTAGGGGTTTCGGGTCTTAGGGAAGAAGGCATAGGGTTTAAGTGTTTAAGGGTTCGAGCCCAGAGCCTGTTTAGGGTTCGGGGTCTTGAGGGTTTCTGCTTCTAAGGTTGAAGGTGGAGGGTTCGGGGTTGCTCTACGGCTTGTGGTTTAGAAACGAAGAAAAAACCTGAGATAGGGTTGAGGGTTGAGGGTTTAGGGTTAGGTTTTATATGGCTTAGGGTGTAGGATGTGGGCTCCCCAAAAGCAGCCAACGGCAGCGTTGAACATTCTGAGGTCTCGTCCCTCACGGAGCACAACTCCTACATATGTCCTAAACCCTAACCCCTGAGCCTAAACCCAGACATCACTACGCGAGACTCAAACGTAGGGGCCTACTTAGGTATGTTTGAGACTATATAAGGTATATATGGGTGGCTGTCAAAAATATGATCCCTTTTGAGGTGCCCTAAATATTAGGCGCCGTATTACAACAGGGCTCAAAAAACGGACCATAATTTTGCCAGCCACCCATGTAGGGGTTTTATAGGGGAAATAAGATTCAGGGTCCCTCCATAAACCAAATGGGCAGGGTTTAGTTCCGGACTGCCTCCTGCACAAAGCTTAGCAAAGCCTGCCTCCTCCTCGCATACACTCCGGGCTGCGTGAGCTGGCTGCAAGAGGTTTAGGGTTTAGGGTTTTAGGGTTTAGGGTTTAGGGTTTAGGGCCGCTAGTATGACACTGGCACACAGCCCAACACCATCGACTCCAGATGCGGCCAGCGTTCAGTGCAGAAAAGGCCCAGCCCGAATCGACTGCCGGGTAAGGCGTGTCTCATGACAATACAATGCTGAGCCGACTCTGCTCGACCTCAAGGTTACGACCCTAAACCCTAAACCCTAAACCCTAAACCCTGAACCCTGAACCCTAAACCCTCAACCCTAAACCAACAACTCCCCGCTGGCTTCTCCAGTAATCTCAGGCAGGAGGTCTTTAAACCCTATACAAGCTATAGGGTGTGGGGTCGAAGAATGCAGGGCAGAGTGTGTAAGGCACCTACTGGCTCCCTAAACCCTAAACCTAAACCCCAAACCCCAAACACCAAACCAAGCCCTAAGCCCTAAACTCTTGTAAACTCTTATAAACCCTCATAAACCCTAAACCCCCAAACCCTATAAACCCTATAAACCCAATACACCCAAAAACCTGAACCCTAAACCCTAAACCCTAAACCCTAGACCCTAAACCCTAGACCCTAAACCCTAAACCCTAAACCCTAAAACCTAAACCCAAATCTCGGCCAGGAGGCTGGTGAGAAAAAGGCACCACCAACCCAGCGTGAAGGGCTGCCGGATGAGGCCGATGAAGGCAAAGAGGCCGTAGATGCCTGTTTAGGGTTGAAAGTTCGGGGGTTTAGGGTTTAGGGTTTAGGGTTTATAGGGTTTAGGGTTTAGGGTTTAGGGTTTAGGGGTTTAGGGGTTTAGGGGTTTAGGGTTTAGGGTTTGGGGATTAGAAAGTTAGGGATTTAGGGTTAAGGGTTTGGGGCTTTTAGGGCTGTAGATCTTGGGGTTTTGGGATTGCGGTTTTGCGGGTTATAGGGGTCGGGGCTGGTTAGGAATTACCCACCCTAGCCAAAAGTAAGACCCAGATAAACCCTAAACCCTAAGCCCTAGAAACCCCTAACCCCAAACCCTAACACCCTACTTATACCCGAAAACCTAACCCTAAACCCTAAACCCTAAACCCTAAACCCTAAACCCTATACCCGAAACCCCCTAACCCCTAGAATACTTTCGGAAACCCCAACTTGGACTCTTGGGGGGGGTCTAGGGTTTAGGGTTTAGGGTTTAGGAGGCCGCGAGCGCATGGAGGCCCCGATCACTGCGAGCCTCGGGCCTTCCCTGAAAAACACCACCATCAACCCCAGAGCATGGTGTCGACCGGACGACCGGACCGTGACCGGGCCCCCCCCGGTCGCCCGGTCACCCGTTTCGTCCGGTCACCCGGTCAGCCCGGTCGTCCGTTCAGTCCGGTCACCCGGTCAGGGCAAGCGGACCTTGACTGATCAGGACAAGAAGGGACTGACCCGACCGGACAATCTGGCTGACCTGACCGGACAACCGGGCCGACCTGACCCGGCTGACCGACTGACCTGACCGGACTGACCTGACCGGGCTGACCTGACCGAACTGACCGACCTGACCGGGCGACCGGACTGACCTGACCGGGCCGACCTGAGCTGACCTGACCGACCTGACCGGGCGACCGGACCGACCTGACCAGACTGACCGGGCTGACCTGACCGGGCTGACCTGACCGGACTGACCGACCTGACCCGACCGGACCGACCTGACCCGGCTGACCTGACCGGGCTGACCTGACCGAACTGACCGACCTGACCGGGGTACCAGAGTTAGTACTAATCTTCTTTATTTGCCAACGCCGTCATTCCAGACCTTCGGTTTTCTTTTCGTCATAAGGCGGCACCGTGGTCTTTGCAGCATTCGCCGTTCCTGGATGAAGGAATATTGACAGCCACCCAAATGTTTTCCTACTTGACCTGACCGAACTGACCGACCTGACCGACCTGACCGGGCGACCGGACCGACCTGACCCCGACTGACCTGGCCAGGTAACCGGATTGACTTGATGTGTGACCGGACCGACCTGACCCGACTGTGCGACAGGACCGACCTGATGGGCTGACTGACCTTGACTCGCCTTGCCTACCAATACTCCTCCTCCTCCCTCCTCCTCCTCTTCCTCCTCCTCCTCTTCCTACTACTACTACTACTACTACCACCACTACTACTACTACTACTACTACTACTACTACTACTACTACTACTACTACTACTACTACTACTACTACTACTACTACTACTACTACTACTATAATACTACTACTACTACTACTACTACTACTACTACTACTACTACTACTACTACTACTACTACTACTACTACTACTACTGCTACTACTACTACTACTACTACTACTACTACTACTACTACTACTACTACTACTAATACTACTACTACTACTACTACTACTACTACTACTACTACTACTACTACTACTACTACTACTACTACTACTACTACTACTACTACTACTACTACTACTACTACTACTACTACTACTACTACTACTACTACTACAACAACAACAACTACTACTACTACACGGGCCCCAAAAATAGGTCAATTTTTGCGATTTTTTACTATGTCCGCGGTAGGACTTTTTGTGCAGATTTTGAGTTTTTGCTGATTCTAAGCTAAAAAAGTACAGAGTCAGCGTGATTTCAGACTTTTGCGAATCTATGAAAAAAGCCTATATTTTCGTCCGAAACGGGCTTCGCACAAAAGCTGGCAGCGAGGCGGCGGCTCCGGAGCGCATACATATTAAAGAACCTATCGTGCGAGAATGGTGTTTGCAAATGGGCGGGGCTGCGCCCCCCCCAACCCCCCCGCTCTTTCATAACCTATCGTGCGAAACTTCCTCCTACTACTACTACTACTACTACTACTACTACTACTACTACTACTACTACTACTACTACTACTACTACTACTACTGCTACTACTGCTACTGCTACTGCTACTGCTACTGCTACTGCTGCTGCTGCTACTACTGCTAGTACTGCTACTATTGCTAGTGCGACGACGACGACGACGACAACGACGACGACTATACTACTACAAACATTTCTATAAACCTATCGTGCGAGAATGGTGTTTGCAAATGGGGGGGGCTGCGCCCCCCCCCAACCCCCCCGCTTTTTAATAACCTATCGTGCGAAAATGATGTTTGCAAATGGGGGCGGCTGCGCCCCCCCAACCCCCCCGCTTTTTTTGAAGCCGCACAAGCTTGCTTCAAAGCATACACATGCAGCCCCCCCAACCCCCCCGCTTGCCTTTGACGGAAAAAAAAACCCTAAGTCTGCTTGGTACGTTAATAGGAATCCTTTTCTTTTCTTTGTATTTTAAAATGAAAATCTTCATTTCCTTTGCACTTTATGAGGGAAATCTATCTTCTCGAAAATTTCAGGGAAAATCTCTATTCGCTTTGGGATTTCAATAGCAAAACCTTAGTATTGTTCATGTACTCGTTGTTGTTGTTGTTGTTGTTGTTGTTGTTGTTGTGGTGGTGGTGGTGGTGGTTGTTGTTGTTGTTGTTGTTGTTGTTGTTGTTGTTGCTGTGGTTGTTGTTGTTGTTGTTGTTGTTGTTGTTGTTGTTGTTGTCGTTGTTGTTGTTGTCGTTGTTGTTGGTGTTATCGTTCTTGTTAATTGTTATTGTTCTTGCTATTGTTCTTGTTATTGTTCTTGTTCTTGGTCTTCTTATTGTCCGTGTTCTTGCTCTTGTTCTTGTTATTGGTCTTGTTCATGTACTTGTACTTGTACTTCTTCTTGTTGTTGTTGTTGTCGTCGTCGTTGTTGTTGTTGCTGTTGCTGTTGCTGTTGTTGTTGTTGTTGTTGTTGTTGTTCTCGTTATCGTTCTTGTTATTGTTCTTCTTCTTGTTGTTGTTGTTGCTGCTATTGTTGTTGTTACTGTTCTTGTTATTGTTCGTGTTATTGTTATTGTTGTTGTTCTTGTTCTTGTTCTTCTTATTGTTCGTGTTCTTGCTCTTGTTCTTGTTATTGTTCTTGTTCATGTACTTGTCGTACTTGTTGTTGTTGTTGTCGTCGTCGTCGTTGTTGTTGTTGTTGCTGTTGTTGCTGTTGGCTGTTGTTGTTGTGGTGGTTGTTGTTGTTGTTGTTGTGGTCGTTGTTGTGGTCGTTGTTGTGGTCGTTGTTGTGGTCGTTGTTGTGGTCGTTGTTGTGGTCGTTGTTGTGGTCGTTGTTGTGGTCGTTGTTGTCGTTGTTGTTGTCGTTGTTGTTGTTGTTGTTGTTGTTGTTGTTGTTGTTGTTGTTGTTGTTGTCGTTGTTGTTGTTTAACTCACTTCGATGAAAAATGCTATTACTGTGGCTTAGGATAGTTCTGTCGGCTAGTTTGCTTCCCACCGCAGACCAAAAAGTCCTAAGCGATAGGATGGCCTCTCGGCCTTTGCTTCCCACCGCAGCCACAAGAATCCCAAGGGATAGGAGGGCCTCTGGGCCTTTGCTTCCCACCGCAGCTCCAAAAACCCAGTTTTGCAACTATAGCAACGCGGAAGCAGAATAAAACAAAATAAATTGGGGTGCGGCATTGAGACGTAGGAGAGTATGGTGTGTTTTTGTCATTTTTTGGGAATGATACTGCGGTTTCTGGGTACTCTTTTCTCCTGCATCTCAAGGCATGCTCACGTACCGTTTTTATTTGATTTTATACTACACGGGCCCCAAAAATTGGCCAATTTTTGCGATTTTTTACTATGTCCGCGGTAGGATTTTTTGAGCACGTTTTCAGTTTTTGCTGATTCTAGGCTAAAAAAGTACAGAGCCAGCGTGATTTCAGAATTTGCGAATCTATGAAAAAAGCCTACTTTTTGGTCCGAAACGGCTTCGCGCAAAAGCTGGCAGCGAGGCGAGCCTGTCCCAAAATAAGTTCTCGAGCTTCAAAACGACTCCCCGCTGTTCTTTTCCGAAATTGCAAGAACTCACTTTGACGAAAAATGCTATTACTGTGGCTTAGGATAGTTTTGTCGGCTAGTAGACTCCGGGCCTTTGCTTCCCACCGCAGCCCAAAAAGTCCTAAGCAATGGGATGGCCTCTTGGCCTTTGCTTCCCACCGCAGCCCCAAAAAATGCCAAGGGATAGGAGGGCCCCTACCCTTTGCTTCCCACCGCAGCCCCCAAGAATCCCAAAAAATAGGAGGGCCTCTGGGCCTTTGCGGCCTTTGCTTCCCACTGCAGCCCAAAAAGTCCTAAGCAATAGGATGGCCTCTTGGCCTTTGCTTCCCACCGCAGCCCCAAAAAATCCCTAGGGATAGGAGGGCCCCTGGGCCTTTGCTTCCCACCGCAGCCCCCAAAAATCCCTAAACCCTACACCCTAAACCCTAAACCCTAAACCCTAAACCCTAAACCCTAAACCCTAAACCCTAAAGCCTAAGCCCTCCTCCTCCTCCTCTTCCGACTACTACTACTACTACTACTACTACTACTACTACTACTACTACTACTACTACTACTACTACTACTACTACTACTACTACTACTACTACTACTACTACTACTATTTCAATAACATATCGTGCGAAAATGATGTTTGCAAATGGGGGCGGCTGCGCCCCCCCAACCCCCCCGCTTTTTTGAAGCCGCTTTTTTTGAAGCCGCACAAGCTTGCTCCAAAGCATACACATGCAGCCCCCCCCAACCCCCCCGCTTGCCTTTGACGGAAAAAAACCCTAAGTCTCCTTGGTACGTTAATATCAGGGAAAATCTCTATTCGCTTTGGGATTTCAATAGCAAAACCTTTGTTTTCTTTGGATTTAATCGGGAAACATCTATTCTTTTTGCGACCCCCGGCTTGCCTTTGACTGAAAAAACCTAAGTCTCCTTGGTACGTTACTAGGAATCCTTTCATTTCTTTGTATTTTAAAATAGAATATTCATTTCCTTTGCACTTTGTGAGGGAAATCTATCTTCTCGGAAATGTCAGGGAAAATCTCTATTCGCTTTGGGATTTCAATAGCAAAACCTTTGTTTTCTTTGGGATTTCATTAGCAAAACCTTTGTTTTCTTTGGATTTAATAAGGAAACATCTATTCTCTTTGCAACGTTGTCGTTGTCGTTGTCGCTGTTGTCGTCGTCGTTGTCGTCGTTGTCGTCGTTGTTGTAGTTGTCGTCGTCGTTGTCGTTGTTGTCGTTGTTTGTCCTTTGCACTTATGAGGGAAATCTATCTTCTCGGAAATTTCAGGGAAAATGTCTATTCGCTCTGGGATTTCAATAGCAAAACCTTTGTTTTCTTTGGATTTAATCGGGAAACATCTATTCTCTTTGTAATTAAGTAGGAAAACATTTGGGTGGCTGTCAATATTCCTTCATCCAGGAACAGCGAATGCTGCAGGAAATGTCAGGGAAAATCTCTATTCGCTTTGGGATTTCAATAGCAAAACCTTTGTTTTCTTTGGATTTAATAAGGAAACATCTATTCTCTTTGCAACGTTGTCGTTGTTGTTGTCGTCGTTGTCGTCGTTGTCGTCGTTGTTGTCGTTGTCGTCGTTGTTGTCGTTGTCGTCGTTGTTGTCGTTGTTGTCGTTGTTGTCCTTTGCACTTTATGAAGGAAATCTATCTTCTCGGAAATTTCAGGGAAAATCTCTATTCGCTTTGGGATTTTAATAGCAAAACCTTTGTTTTCTTAGGATTTAATAAGGAAACATCTATTCTCTTAGCAACGTTGTCGTCGTCGTTGTCGTCGTTGTTGTCGTTGTCGTCGTTGTTGTCGTTGTCGTCGTTGTTGTCGTTGTTGTCCTTTGCACTTTATGAGGGAAATCTATCTTCTCGGAAATTTCAGGGAAAATCTCTATTCGCTCTGGGATTTCAATAGCAAAACCTTTGTTTTCTTTGGATTTAATAGGGAAACATCTATTCTCTTTGCAATTAAGTAGGAAAACATTTGGGTGGCTGTCAATCTTCCTTCATCCAGGAACAGCGAATGCTGCAAAGACCACGGTGCTGCCTTATGACGAAAAGGAAAACGAAGGTCTGGAATGACGGCGTTGGCAAATAAAGAAGATTAGTACTAACTCTGGTGCCCCGGTCAGGTCGGTCAGTTCGGTCAGTTCGGTCAGGTCAGGTCGGCCCGGTCGCCCGGTCAGGTCGGTCAGTTCGGTCAGGTCAGCCCGGTCAGGTCAGCCTGGTCAGGTCCGTCCGGTCGCAGGGTCAGGTCGGTCAGTTCGGTCAGGTCAGCCCGGTCAGGTCAGCCCGGTCAGGTCAGTCTGGTCAGGTCGGCCCGGTCGCCCGGTCAGGTCGGTCAGTTCAGCCCGGTCAGGTCAGCCTGGTCAGGTCGGTCCGGTCGCCCGGTCAGGTCCGTCAGTTCTGTCAGGTCAGCCCGGTCAGGTCAGCCCAGTCAGGTCGGTCCGGTCGCCGGGTCAGGTCGGTCAGTTCGGTCAGCCTGGTCAGGTCGGCCCGGTCAGGTCGGTCAGTTCGGTCAGGTCAGCCCGGTCAGGTCAGCCCGGTCGGGTCAGTCTGGTCAGGTCGGTCAGTTCGGTCAGGTCAGCCCGGTCAGGTCAGTCCGGTCGCTCGGATCGGTCAGCCCGGTCAGGTCGGCCAGCCGGTCAGCTCAGTCCGGTCAGCCAGCCAGGCCGACCGGATCCGGTCAACCGGATCCGGTCAGCCCGTTCACCCGGTCACGGTCAGACGTTGCCCTTCGACACCCTTCTGCAACCCCAAACCCTAAACGCCAAACCCAACGCCCCTAAACCCCTAGACCCTAAACCCCTAGACACCAAACCCGAAACCTTAGACCCTAAAGCTCCCCCAAGCCCTAGATTAGGGACTTGATTCTCTCAGGGCCTTAAGTCTTTTGGGGGGTTTGGGGTTTAGGGCTTTTCGGGTTGCGGGTTTAGGGTTTAGGATGCTCAAGGCCCTGTACTGCAGCTTTGTAGGCTTCTACTGCTCTGAATGTCGTCTCGAGGGTCGGGGGCTATTTCGAGCTCTGGCTTCCACGCTGAGGAGGGTTCGGGTTTAGGGCGCAGGGATGAGTTTAGAGTCTGAACTTTGGATGGCTTTGATCACGAACCCTAAACCCTAAACCCGAAACCCTAAACCCTAAACCTTAAACCCTAAACCCTAAACCCTAAGGGTTTGTTTTGATGTTAGAAGCTCCTGTCTTGCAGCCCGCCTGTCTGCCTAAACCCACCTTCGACCTCAAAGGGGGTGTCGGGTTTCGGGTGTAGTGCCTAGGAGTTCGGTAGGAAGCAGGCAGCTGTTGGGGCTTCAGGGTTGCGATGTTCCCTCTTATACTTACAGCCCTTAATAGGGAATATCGTAGGGGGTACTATGATATCTCGTAAGGACTGTTGGTAGGAGGGGGAACATCCCAAGCCTTAGGGTTTAGTCATCGCGTCCAGGGGCTATGCGGCTGAAGGCTCACTGGAGTTGGGTTCGCGCAATGCCCAGCTGCCTCTTAGTTCTCGAGTGACCTACACAAGTAAGGCCGGGTGTAAGGATTCCTAAACCCTAAGCCCTAAGCCCTAAGCCCTAAACCCTAAACCCCAAAAACGCCCAAAAATGACGAACTCAAATCCAGACGAAGATCCTGAGTCTTGTCACTATGCCATAGTCATAGCTGAAACCCGTAAAAGGCCAATACCACAATAACAAAGGTGCCCTTTTGTGGCTGCTTACTTTATTATAAGGGGGAACCTAGAACCAGAATAGAGGGTGAAAGGGTACTTCGAGGTTGTGGTACCTAGTGACCCAATGATATCTTTCCTTACAACCCAATCATCATGCTATTAGGGTACTCAAGGGGCCTCTATGCGTGTGTATCACTACACTTATAATGGGTTACTAAGTACCCTCAACCTGCAAGTATCACAGGGATTCCAAGAACCCAAAACCCTGAGGCACTCACCCCTGGCACCCAACACGACACCCCAAACCCTAAACCCCAACCCCCTAGCCCTAACTCCCGAAAGCCCTAAACCCTAACACGAACTCCTCAACCCTAATCCCTAAACCCCCAAACCCTAAACCCTAAACCCCCAAACCCTAAACCCTAAACCCAAAACCCTCAACCCCAAAAACACTAAACCCTGAGGCCTGCAGCAGGCGAAGGCAGGGCCAAGGAGAGGAACCTAAAAGTTCGCAACACAAGACCAAGAAGAGTTTAGGGTTTAAGGATGTAGGGATTTAGGGTTGAGGGTTTAGGATTGAGAGATTGAGGGTTTGGGGTTTAGAGTGTAGTTAGTTTAGGGTTTAGGGTAAAAACAAAAAGAAACTAGGAAGGGTGGGGGCGGGGGGAGGGAGTTTTGGCAGTTTCTTGAACAGGGTTCTTGGAGTTCAATCGGGTTGGCAAGGTTTTGTGGGCTCTTTTAGGGAAAGTGGGCTGCTTGTGGAGGGGGGGAGGGGGTCCACACCCTAGAACCCCTAAACCCTACTACCAAGGTGACTTCCGCAGTGTTCCTTTCGGGTCGTTTGACTCCGGACCCTACATCCCCAAGCGCAGCAGCTGAAGAACTCGTGCGGCCGCAATAGGGTTTCGAGTCTAGAGTTTCGAAACTCCCCGGACTAGATTCCCTTCTTTGGAGTAGAGCCTGAAAAAATAGTATATACTTCCTAGGGATGAGTAGCCCAAATAAGGAACCCAGAACCAATAAAAGTATTGAAGTGTAGTACTCCCGGGTTTGAGTGTCCAGGTTTGGGATGGGTTTTAGGGATTGGGCGCAGTTGACATACCCCGATGTGCGTAGCTGTTCATTCGGGATGGGAGAGGATTACTACAATTGACTATCATGTTGTACGCTCTCCCTCCCCCCCCCTTCATGCTCTATAGTTGCTTCTTCATGACAACATGGGGCGTTACGAAACATAAGGGACCCTAATATGGACCCCAAAAATAGTAAGATTTCCTAATAACAAGGACCCCAAGAAGGAACCCCTAATATCGTAAACCCCCACTTGTCAGATAACCCTAAACCCTAAAACCTAAACCCTAAACCCGAAACCCAAATATCGTAAACCCCCCACACGTCAGATGAGACGGGAGGGGATGAAGCCGGCCCTAAATCCCAGAAAAAGGAGCCCGGGGCCTGAGGGTTTAAGGATTTAAGGTTTAAGTAAGGTTTAGGGTTTAGGGTTTAGGGTTTAGGGTCCAGGGTTTAGGGTCCGCCGACCCTGGCGGCGTGTTGGATGGAGGTGAAAACCTCCCTCTTTCGGGGGGGGAGGGGGGTAGGGGGGGTCGGTCGCCAGGGTTTAGGGGAAAGAAGGGTCCGCCGACCCTGGCGGCGTGTTGGTGATTGCCCCCCAAAACGCGGGGGGGGGGGGGGCACCCCGGCAGCTTTTCCGTTGAGGAGTAGGAGGATTTAGGCTGTCCCTGACGTAGGAGGGGAGAGGTGGTGTGAGGGCCCAAAGCAATGTCGGGTGGCTGTATGTCCTCGCACACGCTCATGGTAGCATAGGCCCGGAACCAGAGCTGTGTGGCAGCGGTCTTCCATGCAGCCAGTCCATCCTGCCTCGTGTTGCAGAGGAAACAGTGCGTCGTACTTCTCCACAATCTCTGCTCGACACCGGCACCCAGAGCATCTGCATGGCATCCGAAACCTTCTGTAAAAGCCACAGGCGCTCCTTTTGGAAAAAACCCTCCCCCCCCCTGCCCCCCCCCCCCTACCCCCCCCCCCCTACCCCCCCCCTCCCCCCCCCTACCCCCCCCCCCGTACCCCCCCCACCCCCCCCCCTACCCCCCCCCCCCCCTCCCCCCTCGCCCCCGACCCCCTCCCCCCCCCCCCCCCCCCCCCCCCCCCACTCCCCCCCCCCACCCCCCCGCCCAGGACCCGAACCGCAAACCCAATCCACCAAACCCCAAACCTTAAACTTGTTCTCCTGCGGGGTCGTTCATGGTACTTCGGAACTTCGTAACCCAATTGTCACTGTACTTATAACCCAATTATAACCTATTCGGGTACTTGAAAGGCTTGTATGTGGGTTCTTTCTGCACGTCTCGTGGGTTGCGAAGTCGCCTGAACCTCCAAGTAGGGTTTAGGGCACCGTCCCAGCGTTGGGGTGGCGCAGGGGGGTGCAAGGCATTTGGTGCATGTCCACCCCAGCCCAACGCTCAACGCTCAGCCGTAACCAACCTTAAATTTGAAACCCCAAACCTCAAACCCAAAAAAAGCAAAGCCCAAAAAACAACTAAACCCCAAAAAGCAAAACAAAGCGAACAGAAATAAAAAGCAAAGCAAACAAACAAATCCCGAAACCGGTCAACCCCCGCTGGTTGCGCAAGAAGCCAGGCTAAGCAGACGAAGCCATGGGAGCCGTGCACCCAACGCCAAGCCTCTTCAAGGCGCTGTAGCGTGGAAGGGGGGGGTGCGGAGGGAAGGGGGGGGGGGGGGGGGGGCAGGGCTGTAGGGTTTAGGGATTTAGGGTTTGGGCATTTATGGGGTTTTGGGATTTAGGGTTTTGGGTTGAGTCTGGGGAGGGTGCAGTAGGTGGGGCCTTGGAGTGGGTCGGAGTGGGTGGTCGCCTCTCACATCCCCCCACTCAAGAGTAAGGGGGTTCAGGGGTTTGAGGGGATGAAGGGTCCGGGGTTTAGGGTTTAGAGTTTAGGGTTTACGGTTTGGGGTTCTGAAGCCCTTTTAACATGCAAACCCTTAACAAACATCCCAAAGGACAGCCCTGGTATTGGCTATCTTGGTGGGACTTTACGTTGTTGTATTTGATTCTCCTTTGTTGGGATTAGTATCTTTTATTGATGGTTTATACAACTATACTTTTATTGTGTGACTTGGTGGTCCTGGGCTTAAGCTCTAGCTTTGCGGGGTCTACGGGGATGGCTGTAGGGGTCCTTGATGTAGTTCCTTGCGTTCGAGAGGAAGAATGCATTGTGCAATGCATTGAAATTCTCCGGCCAGCCTAAACCCTAAACCCTAAACCCTAAACCCTAAACCCTAAACCCTAAACCCTAAACCCTAAACCCTAAACCCCTATCCCTTGTAAACCCTAAGCCAGCCCACAGCCCCATGTCAGAAGCCCTGACAGGCATCGTCAAGCGTTGCCAAGATGTGCAATCAATGTCGTTGTGACTCAGTTTGGTCCAGTTTGATGCAACCCTAAGCGGTTTCGGGTTTAGGGTTTAGGGTTTAGGATTTAAACACCAACCTTCCTTCAAACGCAACAACACAGAAGCAGCCGAGTGCTGCATTCGATTCCTCGATCCCAAGCCGTACTCCTTACCTGCACCCCACTGCAACTGCCAATTTGCCAAACCTTAGGCCTAAACCCTAAACCCTAAACCCTAAACCCTAAACCCTGAACCCTAAACCCTGAACCCTGAACCCTGAACCCTGAACCCTAGCCCTAAACCCTAAACCCTGAACCCTAGCCCTAAACCCTAAACCCTAAACCCTAGGGCCCTTTGACAATGGCCTCTTTAGGGAGGCCAGGGGCGATGCGATAGGCAAGACGAGTCTGGCAAAGGTTGCCTTGGGCGCGGCCCAAGGGCAGTTGAGCCTTTTTTGGGGAGTTTAGGGTTTAGGGTTTAGGGTTAAGGTTTAGGGTTTAGGGTTTAGGGTTTAGGGTTTAGGGTTTAGGGTTTGCCCTAAACCCCTATATAAACCTCTGAACGCCTAAACCCCGAATCCCCTGACCTAACACTCCCTAACCTTCTCTAAGGTTCCCTAGGTACCTAACCTTAACTAATATCAAGTAAACCCTAAACCCCAATTAAGCCCTAAGCCCTAAACCCGAATCCTAAGGGGCTTAACGTTCAGAGTTGAGGGCTTGGGATTTAGGGATTCGGGTTTCGGGTTGAGGGATGTGGGATGCAGGGACTTCAGTTTGAGCGTCTTTAGTAAGCTTCGGGTTTGGGGGCTTGGGGTTTGGTTTCGGGTCTTGAGGTTTAGGGTTCTAGTCGGTTTAGGGTTTAGGGTTTAGGGTTTAGGGTTTAGGGTTCTAGGGTCTTGTAGGTCTCCATTAAAGAAGAATGCACTGCGCCATTCTTGGGTTTCGGGTTTAGAATTTACGGTTGTCCGCCACCCTAAGCTTCAGGAGTTGAGACTCGGACCCCGACAGATGTACCCCTAAGAGGTTTCCCTCAAAATACGCCTAGTAAGACCTTCTATTCCCTTAAAGGATCCTCAAAATACGCCTAGTAAGCCCTTCTATTCCCTTCAAGGATCCTCAAAATGCGCCTAGCAAGCTCTTATGTTCCCTTAAATGATCCTTAAAGTACGCCTAATAAGCCCTTATATTCCCTTAAAGGACCCTCAAGAAGGAGTCCCCAAAGCCAAGGGCACAGACTTCGGGGTCCGAGGTAGAAAAACCTCTGCGCCGCTACACCCCAACCCCAATAAACATGATGATCTCTCAACCCTACTATACACCTCTGAAACCGAAACTACCCTAAACCCTACATCCGACATATGTATTTATATATATGTACATATTACATATATACATACATATATATATATATACATACACACACACCCTACACCCTAAACCCGAAATTCTACAAACCACGTAAACCCTACACCCTTACAACCCTAGACCCGAAATTCGAGACCCGAGTGTAACCTAGGAATGACAATGGGTGCCCTTTTTGGCAGGGCCTTGTAAGGAAGCCGGAACCTAACAAAAAGGGGAATAAGGGCCTACTCTGGGCCTTAGTAGCCCTAAACCCCAAACCCTAAACCCTAGCCCTAAACCCTAGCCCTAAACCCTAAACCCTAAACCCTAAACCCCCCCCCCCCATTTTTACAAGCCTTCAGAGACGAACTTGCTCTGCCGCGGAGGCGCACTTGAACTCGGGAAGGCCCAGGCACAGCCTTGGAGTCTTTTAGGGTTTAGGGTTTAGGGTTCAGGGTTTAGGGCTTAGGGCTTGGGTTTAGGGTTTAGGGTTTAGGGTTTAGGGTTTAGGGTTTAGGGTTTAGGGTTTAGGGTTTAGGGTTTAGGGTTTAGGGTTTAGGGTTTAGGGTTTAGGGTTTAGGGTTTAGGGTTTAGGGTTTAGGGTTTAGGGTTGGGGCTTGGGGCTTAGGGCTTGGGGTTCGGGGTTTAGCCTTTTGGGGTCGTTTGGGGCCTGGGGGGGGGTGTTGTGGCTTTTGGCTTTTTAGGGTTTGGCGTTTGAGGGTTTAGGGTTTAGCCTTTTGGGGTCGTTTAGGGCCTCGGTTTTTTTTGTTTGGTAGGTTTTAGCGTTTTAGGGTCTAGGGTTGAGCCTTTTTGGATCGTTCAGGGCCTGGGGGGGGGGGGGGGGTTGGGGGGTTTAGGTTTTTAGGGCTTAGTAAGGTTTTGGGGTTTCGGGTTTTGGGTGCTAAGGTTTAGGGGTTAGGGTCCAGGGGGTTTAGGGATTAGGCTTTGGGGTTTAGACCCTAAACCCTAAACCCTAGACGCTAAACCCTAAACCCTAAACCCTAAACCCTAAACCCTTTTCAGGGGCATTCGGGCTGAGTACTCCCACACTCAGCGTGGGGCTTTGGGGCTTGGGGTTTAGGGTTTAGGGGGGTTCTCAGGGTTTTGGGGCGTAGGGGGGTAGGGGTGTTTAGGTTGCTTGTCGCCAACAGTTGCAGGCTTGGCTTTCGGGCAAAGCCGTTAAGAAAGAGCTCTGAAGACAACACCGGCCATTATTTGGAGCTCCCCAAGCCAAGCCTAAACCCTTAAACCCTTAAACCCTTAACCCTAAACCCGAAACCCAAAACCCAAAACCCAAAACCCAAAACCCCAAACCCTAAGTCCTAAACCCTAAACCCTACTCGAGACCAAGCGGCCCGAAAAGCCAAAGCAGGGACAGCGGCAGCCTCGAAACGATCACCAAGAGGGTTTTGAGTTCTTAGCTCCGGGCTCTGCAGGGGTTTAAGGGGACGCTTGAACGGTTTGTGGTTGTGGGGGGCTTGTCAGGGGCTGCGAACCCTAAACCCTAAACCCTAAACCCTAAACCCTAAACCCTAAACCCTAAACCCTAAACCCTAAACCCTAAACCCTAAACCCTAAACCCTAAACCTAAACCCGAGGCTTAGGGCGTGAGGATTTCGGAGACTGGGGCTTCTAGGTCGCAGCGCCGAGGCCGGGGTTGCATGTAGAGGATGGCCGCCTTGAAAAATGTTGGACTAAAGCTTGCCCCTAGGGTTTAGGGTTTAGGGTTTAGGGTTTAGGGTTTAGGGTTTAGGGTTTAGGGTTTAGGGTTTGGGGTTCAAGGTTTAGGGTTTAGGGTTTAGGGTTTAGGGTGTAAGGTGTCGATGCAAAAAATAAGTCCTTAAGTCCACGCCCAGAAGATACCGTAAGCCACCTTGTAAACAAAAAAACAACGCCGTTGATGACAATCATAGAAATTCAAGCGCAAGACTAACCCACAGCCTAAACCTCTCGCGCTACATCCTAGGCCGCACAAACCCTACATCCTGCGTTGCGCCCTGCACACTAAACCCCGAACCCTAAGCCCCCAAACCCTAAACCCTAAACCCCAAACCCCAAACCCTAAACCCCAAACCCCAAACCCTAAACCCCAAACCCTAAACCCCAAACCCTAAACCCCAAATCCCTAAACCCTAAACCCCAAACTCTAAACCCTAAACCCCAAAACCCTAAACCCTAAACCCTATACCCCTGCGGCCACGCCGCGCGGCAGCGGCAGCGCTGGCGGTGACCGGGCCAGGTCCCATGGGCCCGGAGAGGCCTTGGGAAGCTGACGTAGGGTTGAGGGTTTAGGGTTTGGGGTTTAGGGTTTGGGGTTTAGGGTTTGGGGGTTTAGGGTTTGGGGTTTAGGGTGTAGGGTTTAAGGGTTTGGGGTTTGGGCTTAGGGCTGGTTAAAGTGTGAGAAACAGGCTTAAGGTTTGGGCTAGCTCCTGTTTCCCTGGCTTGGGCTTCAAGGTACGGTCCCGCGCAAACTCAGCAAAGACAGTATATAGAAAAACACCAGTATGTTGGCCAAAGAGGAAGAAAAGCTCAGTAACAGCAAACAAGCAAAACTACAAAGATGCCCTAAACCCTAAACCCTAAACTCTAAACCTTCAACCCCGAACCAAAAAAACCCTGAACCCAAATAGACATTGCAGTGACCATAAGCATGATGCTGACCGAAGCACTGACCCCTCAATGCCTCTCAGAACGGAGGGCTTTGGGCTGCAACCCAAGAACCCAATTCTAAACACAGAGCCCTAAAGCATAAACCCTGAACCCCGAACCCTAAACCCTACGCCCTGAACCCTAAACCCTAAGACCCTAAACCCTACGCCCTGAACCCTTAACCCGAAACCCTAAACCCCGAACCCTAAACCCTAAACCCTAAACCCTAAACCCTAGCCCTAAACCCCAAACCCTTTTTCCCCAGGCCCCCCGACCCAGACACGGCCCGTGGAACCAAAGCATCGCCAGGGCAGGAAGCCCGTGCACCTTGAAAACGAGAAGGTTTTAGGGTTTAGGGTTTAGGGTTTAGGATTTAGGGTTTAGGGTTTGGGGCGTGATGAGGGTTTAGGGTTCTGGGGGGCTCGGGGGCTTCTAGGCTTTATAGGGTTGAGAGTAAGTTTAGGGTCTCAGGGTGGAGGGGACATAGGGTATATAGGGTATATAGGGTTGAGGGCTTAGGGTTTGACGGGGTTGAGGTCTATAGGGCATGTAGGGTTGAGGGCTCTAGGCTTTCTAGGGTTGAGGGTTAAATTTAGGGTTTCAGGGTTGAGGGTACATAGGGCTGAGGATTTAGGGCTTCACCGAGTTGAGGGTTTTGGGTCGCACTGCTACCCCCTGACCGAGCACTACAGCAAAGCAAATACAAATGGCCTGTATGCCCAAAACCCAAAACCCAAAACCCAAAACCCAAAACCCAAAACCCAAAACCCAAAACCCTAAACCAGAACCCTAAACCCTACCCAAACCCTCAACCCGAAATCCTGCATTTTGAAGGCTATCGGCCTTTTTTTGCGGGGACCAGGTATTGCTTTGACTCATGAGCCGTTCGTAACTAATCTCTTATGCACCGGCCTAGGCGTATTTAGGGTTTAAGGTGTTGGGTTTAAGGTAATGGGTTCAGGGTTTATCTTGTCTTTAGTAGCTTTAGAATCGTGAGCGGAGCTCCCCAAGAACAGGAAGTGAGGCAATGCTGGAAGATCCCTAAGCTTCAAAGTCATTTTCTTAAATAATCCTGAACCCTATACCCCAAACCCTAAACCTAAACCCTAAACCCTAGACCCTAAAGCATGTTTTCTAAAGCGACCATGAGCCCTGTCACCCCAAACCCTACTTAGAGATTCATGGTACTTAGTAGCCCAGTGATAGCTGTACTAGAAACCCCATGATAACCGTATTCGGGTCCTTAAGGAGCCTTTATGTGGCTTAGAACTACACATATGATAATGGGTTACTATGTACCCTGAATCTCCAAGTAAAAGCCCCCGCAGGTTGACCTTGCTCTGGAGTTGCAAAGTAACTCCTCGAAACTTTCCCCGAACCTGAACCCTGAATTCTTTCAAAGACCCCAAATCCTCACGAAATCTAAACCCTAACCCTAAACCCTAACCCTAAACCCTAAACCCTAAACCCTAAACCCTAAACCCTAAACCCTAAACCCTCAGCCCAGGGGCGCAGAGGTCCCAAGACTGCCAGAACAGCCGAGACCACGGGCTGGTCAAGACGCCGCCTCCAGGGTTGGTTTAGGGTTTAGGGTTTAGGGTTTAGGGTTTAGGGTTTAGGGTTTAGGGTTTAGGGTTTAGGGTTTAGGGTTTAGGGTTTAGGGTTTAGGGTTTGGGGCTTTGGGGCTTTGGGGCTTTGGGGCTTTGGGGCTTTGGGGCTTTGGGGTTAGGGTTGGGGGTTGGGGGTTTAGGGTTTAGGGGTTTAGGGGTTTAGGGGTTGGGGGTTTAGGGTTAGGGCTTTAGGGTTTAGGTTTTAGGGTTCGGGGCTAAGGGTTTAGGGCATTAAGGGTTGGGGTTTAGGGTTTAGGGGTTTAGGGATTAGGGCTTAGGGCTTCGGGTTTAGGGTTTAGGGCTTTGGGTTTAGGGTGTAGGGGTTGGGGGTTTAGGTTTCAGGGTTTAGGGTGTGGGTTTAGGGGTTGGAGGTTTAGGGTTTCGGGGTTAGGGTTTAGAGTTTAGGGTTTCGGGTCTGGGGGTTGGGGGTTTGGGGTTTTAGGGTTTGAGGGTTTGAGGGTTCAGCGTTTAGGGTTTTAGGGCGTGGGGTTTGAGGGTCTAGGGTTCAGTGTTTAGGGTTTCCGTGGGTTTTCAAGTTGAGGGTTCAGGGTTAAGGGTTTGGAACTTAGGGCTTAGGGTCTTGTACCGGGGGTAGTTCTAGACATAGCTTAGACGTTCGAGGAGGTTGGAAAGGGCCGGAAGGGGGGGGGGGGGGGTGGGTGTATAGTCTAGGGCAGAAGGTATAGGGTCCGGGTATCAGGTTTCAGGTAATAGGGCAGAGCTTCATTCATACAGTTTGGTTGTTGCAGCTCCTTGAACGAAAACAGCCAACCCTAAACCCATACGCTCCATGGGCAGTTCTCTAGATTCTAGGTTCCCTTCTTGAGTGCCCTGTAGAACCTGGCACCCTAGCAAACAAGGAGCCTATTTTTTAGAGCTAACCCGACGAAGGTTCACTAAAGGGGTATCCCAACAAAGGTTCAAGGTCAAGTGCGGGTTTAGGGTTTAGGGTTTAGGGTTTAGGGTTTAGGGTTTAGGGTTTAGGGTTTAGGGTTTAGGGTTTAGGGTTTAGGGTTTAGGGTTTAGGGTTTAGCTACTGAATGCCCGACAGGCCGGGCCACGAGATCCTTGAGTCCTTGAGCATGTCGCGCCCTGTCTTCATCCTAGACCCCTAAACCCTGAACAAACCCTGAACCCTTGACTCTGAACCTTAAACAGCCTAAAGCCTGAACCCTAAACCCCAAACCCTAAACCCTAAACCCTAAACCCTACGCCCCAAACCATCAGCCCCCTTCTCGGCACCTCCCCAGAGCGCCGTGACCTGACATCCACGCCAAGGGCTCTGAGATTGGCTCCTTTGGGCCTATCGCGTCGATTGGGGTGTAGGGTTTAGGGTTTAGGGTTTCGGAAAATAGGGGCAATAGGGGTGCCGTTTTTTTCTTTTTTTTTGGGGGGGTCCCGATAAGGGAATTTCACCCTATTTTGGGTATAAAAAGGGCACCCCGATTTTGGGACAGTGACATACCCATATTGGGGTCTAGGGTTTAGGGTTGGGGGCCTAAACCGTAGACTCTAAACGGGCAAAACTTCAACCCTCAAAGCCCTGAATCCACAAAGCCTCAACCTCTTGGGACTTACGGCCCTCCAAACCTCACCCCCAAACGCGGAAGCACAAAACCCAAGCCGCCCAAAACTCTAAATCCAAAACCTACCGTTTGGAGGTCTATGGCAGAAACCCTAAACCCTACACCCCACACCCCTTGTCGAGGCGCTGCGGCGGCATGCTGCAGGCGAAGGCCGTACCAGGTCAGGAGCACACTGAGCCTTGCTAACCAATATATTTCTATACTTATAACCCTAAACCCTAAACCCCAAACCCTAAACCCTAAATCAGTACAGATATTAATATTAGTACAGTCATAATTGGTTAGTAAGTACCATAACCTCCAAGTGGGCAGGAACCCCAGAGAGTCGGCTTGAGGTTTAGGGTTTAGGGTTTAGGGTTCAGGGTTCAGGGCTTAGGGTTACAGGATATTAGTTCTTAGGGTTTCTTTAGGGTTTAGGGAATTAGCAAGGTCTCCGGGGTCAGAGTGGCGCGGTAGGGGTGTGATTGAGCGCTTTGCTTGGGTGGGTTTTGTTGAGACCCTTTCGGGTCTCGGGCTGTCGGGGCTTGGGGCTCAGGCTTTTGGAGTTTGGGGGTTTGGGGTTCACATCCCTCAGTTGCAGAACCTAAACCCTAAACCCTAAACCCTAAACCCTAACTCCTAAACCCCCCCCAAGACTCCTGGTCCATGTAACTATGCTGTGTTTATCTTGGTCTGTAATTAGAGGTTCCCATATCGTAGCTTTCGGGCCCATGCATATACCCTAAACCCTAAACCTAAACCCTAGACTCTAATTAAACCCTGAACCCTAAACCTCCAACACCAAACCCTAAACCCAAAACCCCACATTGATAATAAGTGAACCCTTAGGGAAAGCAGTCTGGGGCCCTCTGTCATATTTGTGTGTTAGGTTTGGGCGCTCCAAAGTGGGGGTTTAGGGTTTCAGGCTCGGGGTAAAGGGTTCAGAGTTAAGGGTTCAGGGCTAGGGTTTAGGGCCCCTGTAAAGAGTTGAGAGGTGCTATTTCCTTAAGCTTGGAAGCTCTCCGCTTGCTGTTTCGTTGGCAGGTCTATGGGCTTTAAGGGTTTTGAGGGGCAGGTTGTAGGTTCGGTGCTTGGGGCGCAGGACTTCTGAGCCTTGTGATGTGCTTTAGGGATTAGGGTTTAGGTTTAGGGTTAGGGATTAGGGTTTAGGGTTTAGGGTCTTAGGGCTTAATCAAGGTTTAGGGTTTAGGGTTCAGGGTTTAACTAGGGTGGTTTGGTCTTCCTTCTTGGTAGCCCAGCGACCATATTCTACTCAGGGCACCCTTTTTGGGGTTGGTTTCTTTATAAGGGAACCGATAACGAAAAAAGGTGTAAAGGGTACCACAGGGCTACCAAGTATTTGAGTGTTGCTGCCATGCTTGAAGGTTCATGGTACTACGCACATACATACATATATATATATATATACCTAAACCCTAAACCCTAAACCCTAAACCCTAAACCCTAAACCCTAAACCCTAAACCCTAAACCCTAAAACCCTGAACCCTAAACCCTAAATGGGTTTCTAAGTATCCTGAACCACAGAGTAAAGCCAGGACAAAGACTCAGGAAGGTAGGCCAAGTAGCGACAGGACGGTCGCCACGCCCAAAATGAACCTTCGACAGGCATTCCGCAAGCTTAGGGCTTAGGGTTTAGGGGTTTAGGGTTTAGGGTTTAGGGCTTAGGGTTTAGGGTTTAGGGTTTAGGGCTTAGGGTTTAGGGTTGAGGGGTTTAGGGTTTAGGGTTGAGGGGTTTAGGGGTTAGGGTTTAAACGGAGTTTACGGCTTAGAAGATCCTATGCCAAAGCCAGAACCCTACAACAGCTACAAACCCTGAATCCCCTAAACCCTAAACGCCCAAAGGGCTCTGAATGCCCGAAAATGCTATTGCCCGACGTACTCCGAATGACCATGAAAGACCTATAGGAGTACCCCAAAACTTCCCAAAACTTCCCAAAACTTCCCAAAACCCTAAACCGTAAACTTCCCTAAACTTCCCTAAACCCTGAACTTCCCAAACTTCCCAAACCCTAAACCCTAAACCGTAAACTTCCCTACGCTTCCCTAAACTCTACAGCGCAGTTGGAGGATTTGGAGGGCTCAGATTGGGGCCTTGGGCCCGGTCTTAGCAGGGTTTAGGGTTTAGGGTTTAGGGTTTAGGGTTTAGGGTGGGGGCGGGCGGGTGCGTTTTCTTCTTTGGCTTTTGGTGGCGTTTAGTAGCTTGGTTTAGGACCTGCTTAGGGTTCAGAAACTTGGGTTTTCAAGCGCCCCGAACCCTAAACCCATCCGGTCCAACAACGTTGCTGTCTTTCCTGTCGCCTTCGTTTCAGGGTTTAGGGCTTCTTGGCGCCCCCTTTTCTTCCCTGGCTGGCCCCCTAAAACTAGAACCCTCAGACAAAACGTCCTAAAAACACGTAGGATCTTTGCACAAACCCAAAAAGGTAACACAAAACCCTAAACCCTAAACCCTAAACCCTAAACCCTAAACCCTAAACCCCAAACACATTCCAAAGGACAACCGAAGCACTGTTCTAGGCCGTTGGGGTGTGAGCCTCAAGTGACACTCCCCCACACCCCCAAAACCCTAAACCCTGACACCCCAACAACACTGAACTTAGGGTTTAGGGTTTAGGGTTTAGGGTTTAGGGTTTAGGGTTTAGGGTTTAGGGTTTAGGGTTTAGGGTTTGGGGTTTAGGGTTTAGGGTTTAGGGTTCCACCAGCCCTCTAATTCCCTCTATAACCTGAACCCCTAAACCCCCCCTCAACCAGCCTGAACCTTAACACCCGAACCCTAAACTCTAAGCCTTAATCCTAGACCCTAAAACCTTAAAACCCTAAAACCCTAAAACCCTAAAACCCTAAAACCCTAAAACCCTAAAACCCTAAAACCCTAAAACCTAAAACCCTAAAACCCTAAACCCTAAAACCCTAAAACCCTAAAACCCCAAAACTCTAAACCCTAAACCCTAAACCCTAAACCCTAAACCCTAAAACCCTGAACCCTCGCCGGGGGGAACCACCTGGTTTGGGTGATGAGGGCCGCCAGCAAAACCAGCCACCAGGTTGCCGAGAAGGGCAGGCGCACGTAGCCTGCGGTCGTTGGGTTTAGGGTTTAGGGTTTAGGGTTTGGGGTTTAGGGCTTAGGGTTTTGGGTTTGGGGTTTAGGGCTTAGGGCTTAGGGTCCATGTACCTACATGGCATATACTTGCTAAAGGGGTTCCCCTCCGGTAGCTTTAGGGCCTATGCATATACTATGTAGGTACATGGATCCTTAGGGGTTGAGGGTTGAGGATTGGGGCCTAAACCCTAAACCCTAAACCCCAAACCCCGGTTTGGGGGTTAGGGTTTAGGGCTTGGGGTTTAGGATTCTGCTCTTAGGGTTAGGGATTAGGGCTTAGGGGGTTGGGGCCTGGGGCTTAAGGAAATGCTAGGGGTATCGGGTTTCAGGGAAAGGTGTAGATATAACACACATTCTAAGCCCCTTAAGTACCCTAATTAGGGTGATAATTAGGTTGTAAGTACAGTTATAATTGGGTTCCGAAGTACCCATGATTCCCAAGTAGCCCTAAACCCTAAATCCTAAACCCTAAACCCTAAACCCTCCAAGTAACAGACGGGCCCTTTGGGTGGAATGCTTCTCCCGTATCCGCGGATGAGTCAATCGTTCAACGAGGGTGGAAACCCCAAGCCCTAAATCCTAGACCCTGCAAACACTCAAAGGTACCCTACCCCATAAACCCACACCTACTTTCAAATCCCGAACCTTCTAAACCCTAAACCCTAAACCCTAAGCCCCAAACCCTAAACCCTAAACCCTAAACCCCAAGCCCCAACCCCAAACCCTAAACCCCTAAACCCTAAACCCCTAAACCCTAAACCCTAAACCCCTAAACCCTAAACCCTAAACCCTAAACCCTCCCCCTGGTGGCGTTCGCCTGACCCAACTGCCAGACCGCAGAGCAGCGCCACCTCTAAGAGGATGCTGGACCTAGGGGGGCAGGCTCTGCTTCCGTGTCTTGTCCCTCTAAGCTCTTCTAAACCCTAAACCCTAAACCCTAAACCCTAAACCCTAAACCCTAAACCCTAAACCCTAAACCCTAAACCCTAAACCCTAAACCCTAAACCCTAAACCCTAAACCCTAAACCCTAAACCCTAAACCCTAGCCGAAAAAGGAGACCCTCAACCCTTAAAAGGCACGAAAGCCTTCAAGCGCCCCCAAACTCGCGCCTCGTAAGGTTGTGCCCCGTTCTCGGCTTCCTTTATCATACTCCTAATATGGCGGGTTTGAGGGCTTGGGCCCCCTAAACCCTAAACCCTGAACCCCAAACCCTAAACCCTAAACCCTAAACCCTAAACCCTGGATTCCCCTTATCTGGGCTCTTCTAGCAAAAGTGTCCCTAAACCCAAGGGTGCAACCTGAGGGCTTCGAAACAGAGTGCCTTGTACCATAGAACCCCATAACCCCGAAAAAACCCCCAAAATCACCAAAATCTCTAAAGCCCCTGGAGTCCCTACCATCCCTAAAGTCCCTAAAAACCCCCAAACACATGAAATCCCAAAAAACCCTAAACCCAAAACCCACAACCCTCAAGTAAAACTACTACAGACCTCGAAGCTGGTGGAGGGTTTAAAATGAAAATTAGGGTTTCGGGTTTAGGGTGTTAGGGCCGTTTAGGGTTCAGGATTTTTGGTGGTCTGCTTTCTCTCAACCGGGGTCAGGGTGGTCCATGGGGTCCCACTGGTGGCTTCGGTTTAGGGTTTAGGGTTTAGGGTTTAGGGTTTAGGGTTTAGGGTTTAGGGTTTAGGCTTTAGGCTTTAGGCTTTAGGGTTTAGGGTTTAGGGTTTAGGGTTTAGGGTTTAGGGTTTAATCCAGCCATTGGCCAAGAAGGACCGGAATGCTGGCAGACATATCCTGCACCATGAGGGGGATTCCATTAACCATTAGCCGTTGATGGAGGCCTGGCCTCCGTTGGAGTCGAGAGGACAGGGCCAGTGGTTTAGGGACTTTAGGGTTTAGGGTTTAGGGTTTAGGGTTTAGGGTTTAGCAAAAATGGAAGCCCCAACAAGTTGACTCTGTGATAGTTTGAAGTACCCCTAAAGCGCCCAAATAGGACCTAGAACAGCCCTTTCAACACTTTTAACCTTGGCAAGGAAAGCCTGAACCGTCCGATATTCCCTAGAGCGATAGGCTAAACATCTCAGCCCTTGAAACTCCAAACCCCTAAGCCCTAAACCTCAAGCGATTAAGACTCGTAACCCTAAGGGCGTACCCCTGAATAAACTCCCAAGAACCCATACATTACCCTAGAAATCTTTTAAAGGGGTCCCCAAACGCACGGGTACTACCTGAACCCTAAACCCTAAACCCTAAACCCCAAACCCCAAACCCCAAACCCAAATACACTCTGTTTTTTTTTTTTTTTTGGGGGGGGGTTCGGGGCGGAGCAATGTTTTGCCCGGAGGCAGCGTGTCTTCGGCGACAGGGCGGGGGGGCAGCTGCCTCAAGCCCGCCAGGACGGGCACCTAGGGAGGCTTTTGCTGTTGAGAGTTTAGGACTGCTAGGGTTTAGGGTTTAGGGTTTAGGGTTTAGGGTTTAGGGTTTAAGGTTTAGGGTTTAGGGTTTGAGGTTTAGGGTTTATTGTTTAGGGTTTGGGGTGTGGGGTTTAGGGTTTAGGGCTAGGGTTTCAGGCTTAGGGGCTGGGGGTTATTCTCAGCTCTTTTTGGCTTGGCGGGAAAGGGGGGGGGGGGGGGGGGGGGTTCGGGCTTTTGGGTTTTGGATCGAGAGCTGCCTCGGCCGAGAGCTTGGAGGTTTAGGGTTTAGGGGATTTAGGGTTTCGAACTTGTTGGGTTTGGGTTTAGGGTTTAGGGTTCCGGTATAGGGTATAGGGTTTATAGGGTTTAGGGTTTCGGGCTAGGGTTCAGGGTTTTGGTGCGTGGGAAAAAGGGTTGAAGGCGTCAGGGTGCGCAAGGGCTTCAGAGTACGTGAGTAGGGGGTAGGGGGTTTGCGCCTTAGGGAGAGAGGGTTCAGTATTTGGCCTTCTCAGGGTTTAGGTCTTGCATTTCACAATTTCGAGAATGTAGCTTTAGGGTGACCAGGGTGCTCTTGGGCTAGAGAACTGACCATATGGGATGTAGGGTTTGAGTGACCCTACACGCAATACCCCAAAACCAGATCATGATACGGGCACCCCTTTTGGGGTTGGTTACTTTATATCGGAACCTTAAACCAACAAAAAGAGTCCAGAAGGGTACCACTGGGCTACCAAGAAATTGCGGTCTTCCCGAAACCCTAAACCCTAAACCCCAAACCCTAAACCCTAAACCCATTGCGGTGCAGGGCTGGAGGGTGGCTACCAAGCCACCGCAATGAGCGGCACGCGGGACTTCCAGACATACCTCCGCTTCCGGGGTGCTTACTTGGCTCGGGGCTTATTTTAGGGGTTTATAGGGGCTCAAATTTTAGGGGTTTATAGGGTTTGTAGGGTTTTTAGGGTTTGCGGGTTTGTACGGTTTGTAGATTCCTATAGGGCTTCGGGGGTCGAATCTTGAAGTAACTGGGCGGGTACTCCAGATACGAGTACATGTCGACCCTCGGAACCCTGATCTGATACTTCAGAGCGGCTTGGTCTAGGATTTATCGGGGGGTGGGGCACCCTAAACCCTACACCCTAAACCCTAAAGGGGGGGGGGGGGGGGGGGTTTAGGGTTTGGGGTTGGGGGTTGGGGGGTTCACATTTAGGGGGTTTCGGGTCTGGGTCGGGGTTACGAGGTTCGGAGATTTTCGGGCAAATCAATGGTACTTAGCGCCGAAAGGCTACATCGTATATACTTGGGCCATGTACATAATTGGTAGCTTTAAGGCCCAGGTATGCACTATTGCTACGTGGGTACATGGACCCTTAGGTTGTTAAACCCTACTTACGACTGTTTAGCCTTTCGGTCTTGGGTAACTTCGGCTGTCATGCCCTAAGCCCTTCTATACGTATTAGGCTTTACGTTTAAGCTTCAGGGTTCAGGGTTCAGGGTTCGGACAGGAGGATCCTCTCATGTGGTCAGGGGGAATTTTGGGCTGAGCTCCCAGGGCACTGCCAAGGCGTGAAGGACTGAGGCGCCACGTCGGAGTGTGCGTGGACCTGGCTTAGGGTTGACAAAACGTTCAGCAGCCTCAGCTTTACCATGCTTTACCTGGGCTGTCGCTGAGCGCTCGGACGGCTTCGGGCTCTCACGTGGTGGTCGCGAGCCCTCAGCCAGACTGTAGAGTTTAGGGTTCAGGATTACCTCAAGAACCCCAAAACCTACTCTCTTTTGTAGACTGCCTAAGAGTGCTACAGGGTGGGGCCCCCTTACTATACTAACTGTAGTTAAGGGACTTATAACCTAACTTAGGGTCCTTATAACCCAACTTAGGGCCCTTATAACTCTACTTATAACTAGGGGGCCCCACCCTGTAGAAGTGCTCTTATGGTAGTAACCTACAAAAAACATTTTGGGTTCTTAAGGTCGCCTACTGCAGGCGGAGGGGGGGGGGGGGCAAGCTTGCCCTGACACCCGTTGAACTTGTTCAGCTTGGGTTTAGGGTTTAGGGTTTAGGGTTTAGGGTTTAGGGTTTAGGGTTTAGGGTTTAGGGTTTAGGGTTTAGGGTTTAGGGCTTAGGGCTGAGGGTTTAGGGTTTAGGGCTTAGGGCTTAGGGCTTAGGGCTCTTTATGGTCCGAGGCCATAATCGGGATTGATCTCAAAACCCTGAACACCCGACGCCCGAGTAGGAATCCCCGGAAGCCTAAAACCCAAACCCTCCAGGCAAATTGAATGGACACTGTTGGGTTTGGGTTTAGGGTTTAGGGTTTAGGGTTTAGGGTTTAGGGTTTAGGGTTTAGGGTTTAGGGTTTAGGGTTTAGGGTTTAGGGTTTAGGGTTTAGGGTTTAAGGTTTAGGGTTTAAGGTTTGGGGCTTAGGGTTGAGGGCTTAGGGTTAGGGGTTTAGGGTTTAGGGTTCAGGAAGCCCAAACCCCGCCAGCAGAAACAAGAAAGTGGTGCAAGGGGAACCTGAGAATGCGTGTCGCATTGCGAGTTTAGGAGTATAGGGTTTAGGGTCTGGGGTTTAGGGTTTAGGGTTTAGGGGTTCGGGTTTAGGGTTTAGGGTTTAGGGATGAGGGTTTAGGGTTTGGGGTCTGGGATTTAGGGATTAGGGTTTAGGGTTTGGGGTTTGGGGCCTCGGGGACCTCACAAGGAGGCCGTTCCTAGGGGCAAAGCCGTCACATGTGGGATCGGCTGGGCAATATTCATAAGTAGAACAGGGTTTTGCGGGCTTGTTCTACTACAAACATAAAGGGGCCATAAGGAAGCACGATTATCAAGCTCAAGCTCTTTTTCCACTTCTGACCTCATAGTTTAACAGGTGTCTACCTTAAACATGAACGAGTTGAAATGCAGTACAGAGCTGGGAATCTGCACCCCTTCCAAGCTCTGGTTGAACTTATAGCCGAAGGTCAAGGTCTGTAGGCCGCTGGGAAACTGCACCCCTGCCAAGCTCTGGTTGAACATATAGCCGAAGGTCAAGGTCTGTAGGCCGCTGGGAAGCTGCACCCCTTCCAAGCTCTGGTTGAAACCATCTCCGAAGGTCAAGGTCTGTAGGCTGCTGGGAAGCTGCACCCCTGCCAAGCTCTGGTTGAAAGCACCGCCGAAGGTCAAGGTCTGTAGGCGTCTGGGAAGCTGCACCCCTTCCAAGCTCTGGTTGAAATCATAGCTGAAAGTCAAGGTCTGTAGGTCGCTAGGAAGCTGCACTCCTTCCAAGCTCTGGTTGAAGTTTTCGCCGAAGGTCAAGATCTGTAGGCCTCTGGGAAGCTGCACCCCTTCCAAGCTCTGGTTGAAATCATAGCTGAAAGTCAAGGTCTGTAGGTAGCTGGGAAGCTGCACACCTGCCAAGCTCTGGTTGAAGTTTGCGCCGAAGGTCAAGGTCTGTAGGCCGCTGGGAAGCTGCACCCCTTCCAAGCTCTGGTTGAACATAAAGCCGAAGGTCAAGGTCAGTAGGCCGCTGGGAAGCTGCACCCCTGCCAAGCTCTCGTTGAACAACTTGCCGAAGGTCAAGGTGTGTAGGCAGCTGGGAAGCTGCACCCCTTGCAAGCTCTGATTGAAGTGTTCACCGAAGGCCAACATCTGGAGGCCACTGGGAAGCTGCACCCCTGCCAAGCTCTGCTTGAACAACTTGCCGAAGGTCAAGGTCTGTAGGCCGCTGGGAAACTGAATCCCTTCCAAGCGTCGGTTGAAGTTTTCGCCGAAGGTCAAGGTCTGCAGGCCGCTGGGAAGCTGCACCCCTTCCAAGCTCTGGTTGAACATAAAGCCGAAGGTCAAGGTCTGTAGGCCGCTGGGAAACTGCACCCCTTCCAAGCTCTGGTTGAACATAAAGCCGATGGTCAAGGTCTGTAGGCTGCTGGGAAGCTGCACCCCTGCCAAGCTCTGGTTGAAAGCACCGCCGAAGGTCAAGGTCTGTAGGCCGCTGGGAAGCTGCACCCCTTCCAAGCTCTGGTTGAAATCATAGCTGAGAATCAAGGTCTGACGGTCGCTAGGAAGCTGCACTCCTTCCAAGCTGTGGTTGAAGTTTTCGCCCAAGGTCAAGGTCTGGAGGCCGCTGGGAAGCTGCACCCCTTCCAAGCTCTGGTTGAAGCGTCCTAAGAAGCGCTCGCCGAAGGTCAAGGTTTGAAGGCCGCTGGGAAACAACACCCCTTCCAAGCTCTGGTTGAAGTAAACGCCCAAGCTCAAGGTCTGTAGGCCGCTGGGAAGCTGCAGCCCTGCCAAGCTCTGGTTGAAAGCACCGCTGAAGGTCAAGGTCTGTAGGTCGCTAGGAAGCTGCACCCCTTCCAAGCTCTGGTTGAAAGAGCTACCGAAGGTTAAGGTCTGTAGGCCGCTGGGAAGCTGCACCCCTGCCAAGCTCTGGTTGAAAGCACCGCCAAAGGTCAAGGTCTGTAGGCCGCTGGGAAGCTGCACCCCTTCCAAGCTCTGGTTGAAATCATAGCTGAAAGTCAAGGTCTGTAGGCCGCTGGGAAGCTGCACCCATTCCAAGCTCTGGTTGAAGCGCTCGCCGAAGGTCAAGGTCTGTAGGCCGCTGGGAAGCTGCACACGTTCCAAGCTCTGGTTGAAATGATGGCCGAAAGTCAAGGTCTGTAGGCCGCTGGGAAGCAGTACCCCTTCCAAGCTCTGGTTGAAAGTGCCGTCGAAGGTCAAGCCAACAATGACATCCATGGCATCCGTGTCTTGATTCCATCCTGTGTTCGCCAAAGCGCGCTGTATACTGCGTGCCGCACATCCTGCGCCAAGTTTCCGCACCACATATGTGAGCTCCTGGTTTTGAGCTGGTTGCAGCGCTGGCTGGTGCAGGTCGAGGACACGGTCACCTGCAGTCAGCACGATGGACGCTGCGGAAAGGCCAACACTGGCTGCGACGCGTCTCCGCACATCCAGCCCGGTTTCGGCATCGTCCACATGGAGCTCAACAGTCGAGCCGGCCAGACAGTGGATGGTCAACGGCCGCATGCTGGCGCTTCTGCAGAGAAAGACTGGACGGAGAATGGCGCAAAGGTGAGTGAAATTTCAGCGCACTTAGAGAATTCGGGACTATAGACCTAACTTCCAACGCCCTAAGCTCTGCCTGTAGCGTGACTTGAGAAAAACAAACTGAAGAATTACCCTAAAACCCTGAAACCTAAAAACCCTAAAGCCCTATATACCCTATATTTGAAGAGAAGTAGGGGTCTGCGGCTAAGCATTCGCACTCCAAGCACAGACGAAACTCCAAAAAGACACGAACGCCCCGCAGGGTTCGGCGACTAACACCAACGAGCGCGTCCAAATCGGGCCTGAAAGGGGGTTCCCATATAGTAGCTATGTATAGGGCCCAGGTTTGTACCCTAGACCCTAGACCCTAGACCCTAATCCGTAAACCCTACACAGTGGCGCGCATTACTTATGAAAAGATACGACCCATACAAACACATGCAAGTGGTTGCAACGACTTGCAGGCATGCTTACAGCCACTTACATCCACTTACAACCACCTGCATGTGTTTGCAACACTGTACACCCAGTTACAACCACATGCAAAAAGATATAGCCGTATCTCTGATAGCACGTGATGCAACGAGTTATATAAGTTGGCATCTCGATGCCTCGATTTTATCGGACGCTATCATCTTAATGGAAGATAGGATCATGATATCAAGTGATAGCTTAAGTAGTTACAAGTAGATAGGAAAAGGACAGGAAAAAGATATAACAGGCTAGAAAAAGATACAGAAGATACGAAAAAGATACGAAAAGATACGAAAAGATAGGAAAAGATACGAAAGGCGTTAATTCCGCCAAAAAAATGCGTGAGCAAGACCACTTGTTTCCTGCTGAATTGGGCATCAGAAATGTAGTTTGTGACCACATTATTCCTTATTTTGCATGTTTGCCACCTCTTTTCTTGGCGCCAGACAAGGGAGAGGGCGGGGGTTTGGGGCAGGCCCCCCTGCCCCAAGATCGTTACGCGTAGAATGTTCTTTTGAATAAAAGCACCCTTGCGCGGCCACGCGCATCCCTGAAAAACGGCCCGGTCGTCAGAACGTCCACCCGAAATCTCGCGCTCCACCAGGCCGGAGCGCCATCATAAGTGCTTCTAAGCTTCACCCTAAACCCGAAACTCTAACGCGTAAGCCCCCTCAAGGCCCCAGAAGCTCCCTTAAGCCCATTAGCAGCACCCTTAAGCCCCCTTGGCCGCCTGAGCACCCTTAAGCCCCCCTTATAGGCCTGCGAGTGCTTCGAGCCCTAGAGGCCTTAGAGCCCTTAGAGTCCTTGGAGCCCTTAGGGCCCTTCGAGGCCTTAGGGGCCTTCGAAGCCTTAGAGCCCTTCGAGCCATTAGAGGCTTTAGAGGCCTTTAGAGCCTTCAAAGCCTTTAAAGGGCTTGGAGTCTTTAGAGCCCTTAGGGCCCTTGCAGGCCTTTTGAAAGCCCTAAGAGCCCTCAAGCCCTTGGAGTCTTCAAAGCCCTTAGCGACCTTAGAGGTCTTAGAGCCCGTAGAGCCCTTAGAGCCCTTAGAGTGCTTAGAGTGCTTGACACTGTGGGCTGGCAGCTGGATGGGGCGGAAAGTGCCATTTTTCTCTAAAAACTTTCCCGGGTCCGGGTAGCCAGGTAAGCCCAGTTTTCCCAATCTTGTAAAATCTTGAAAAATCTTGGATCCGCCACGGACCCCAGAGAGTTAGATTGAGGGAGAGCTCCGCAAAACGCTGCCCTGCCAGCTCCAGGCAGCACCAGCAATCTTGTAGAATCTTGTAAAATCTTGAATCCGGAATCCATACAAAAAGGTGTTCCCAGGAACCAAAAACAGTGAGCCCTTAGAGTCCTCTTGGAGCCCTTCGAGGCCTTAGAGCCCTTCGAGCCCTTAGAGACCTTAGAGGCCTTAGAGGCCTTTAGAACCTTCAGAGCCCTTAGAGGCCTTGGAGTCTTCAGAGCACTTAGAGTCCTGACAGCCCTTAGGGCCCCTGCAGGCCTTGGAGTCCTTTCTGGCCTTGGGCCCTAAGAGCCCTTCAAGCCCTTGGAGCCCTGAGAGCCCTTGGAGACCTTAGAGGCCTTAGAGGCCTTAGAGCCCTTAGAGTGTAACGAAAGTGAACTTTGAAAAGATAAAAAAAGAAAAAGAGTAACAAAAACACAAAAAGAGTGAAAATCACTTAAGAAGATACAAAGATATATATATATATATATATGATAAAAAGAAAGCCTGAGCCCTAAGCCCTAAACCCTAAACCTAAAACGACTTGGCACGTGCTGCTGCTGAGGACCTGCTGTCCGAGGACGCTTAGACCCATGTTAAAAATGCAATTTTCTTGCACAGAAATAGATGGTTCTGGTGACCCTTCCGTGGGCACCCGCAATCCTAAAGCCTAAATCCGAATCCTAAACTCCTAAATCCTAAACCCTATATAACTCGTAAATGTTAAATCCGAAATCCTAGTTGGGTACAGCTTCTTGACCTCTGTTGAAGTCAGTCTGCGCTTGAAGTGGAGATTCTTTTTCACGCCTCACATGTATAAGCGCATATCATGCGTGTATCTATTATTGATGAGATGACAGAAACATATGTTATAAAAATCAGCAAAAAAGATACGAAAAGATACAAAAAGATACAAAAAGATACAAAAAGATACAAAAAGATACAAAAAGATACAAAAAGATACAAAAAGATACAAGAGAGATAGAAAAGATACGAAAAGATAACAAAACATATAAAAAAGATACAAACAGTTGCAATGAGATAGCATAAAACGATAGCATGAAGATGCCAAGTCAGTGCAAGTTCCGGTTATCTTTCTTAATGTGATACATCTTTCTGGCAAGTGATGATATCTGCGGCTAAAGGGGCTAAGTAACGAGTGCCACTGTGTAAACCCCAAACCCCAAACCCTGACATGCCCTATGAGTACATGAGCCCGGAGGGATCACACCTTGGTCAGCCCTCTTCAGAGATAGACCGAGGGGCACACCCCCTAGACCCAAAACCAAAAACCCTAAACCCTAAACCCTAAACCCTAAACCCCCAAACCCTAAACCCTCCTCAGGCCCGAAGCAAAGTGCCCAAAGGCCCTAAACCCTGAACCCTGATGCCTAAACCCTAAACCTTAAACCCTTAACCCTAAACCTAAACTAAGTAAGGGAAAGACCAGGGAAAGAGGTCCTTGACGACCCCCCACCTGTGGTTTAGGGTTTAGGGTTTAGGGTTGGGTGAAACAGACCCTAACCGCCCCCCCCCCCCCCCGCAGGGACAAACATAATTCATAAAAACGAAAACTAGTCTCTTAAGCAAATGCTCGGCCACAAACGCTATTTGGACCCACGACGTATGCGTATTGTAAACACCAAATGCCCTAAGAATCCCTAAGCCCTAAACCCTAAACCCTAGAGCGTAAACCCTAAAACCTAAAACCCTAAACCCTAAATCCTGAGCCCTAAACCCTAAACCCTAACCCAACAAGTTCAATAAAGCCACAATCCCAGAATGGAGCCTCCTTGCCAGCAGCTGTGTGAGCCATGGCGCGTTGCTGGTCTTCCGATTTGTTCTAAACCCTAAACCCTAAACCCTAAACCCTAAACCCTAAACCCTAAACCCTAAACCCTAAACCCTAGACCCTGAACCAACAAGGGGGGGGCCCTAAAGTCGAACCACCGTTCTCGGAGTAGATGAAATCGTTCTCTCGGCTTCCTGAATTATATTGCATCCATGGAAAGGCATGACGGCTGTGGCTCAAAGTAAAACCAACCCATAACTCGTAAACTTCCGAACCTTCAGCCCTAACCCCTAAACCCTAAACCCTAAACCCTAAACCTCTCTTGGAGGGCTGCTGTCTCCATGATAAGCGCCATCCACCGCAATTTCGAAGCCTTGGACTTGAGCCGCCTCCTGCTTCGCACTTGGGGGGGGAAAGTTGAGGGTTCAAAGGCTTAAGTTTAGGGTTTAGGGTTTAGGGTTTAGGGTTTAGGGTTTAGGGTTTAGGGTTTAGGGTTTAGGGTTTAGCGCTTGGGGGTTCAGGGTTTAGGGCTAACTTGACAGTCCTCAGCCCTCACATGCTTTTTAGGGTTTAGGGTTTAGGGTTTAGGGTGTAGGGTTTAGGGTTTAAGGCTACCTTATTCGGGGTCCTACTTTTGAGGGAATCTGACTATGTGGGGGTCGATTCTAGGGGTCCCCCATTTTCGGAGACCCCCATATCGATTCCCCATAGTCGGTTGCCATTTCTCCTTCTTCGCTCGGAGGAGGGGGTTAGAGTCTAGGGTGTAGATTCAGCTAGACCCAAGAGTCACCTACCCCTTGTATAACCCTAAACCCTAAAGCCTATATAAACCCTAAACCCTAAACCCTAAACTTATACCCTATACAACCCAAGGGCGACTTTCGTAAACCCCCATAATTGTCCCAAGTCATCGCGGAACTGTTACCGAGGAAAGGGCGGCAAATGCTGGCTCAACCTCTAGTTGGTCTTGCACACCTTGGGATGTTCGCCCTTATACTAACAGCTCTTAATTGGGATTGCACTATAGTCCCTCCGGAGGACTGGCAGTATAAGTATACGGGGGAGCATCCCAAGGTTTTAATTTGGGTTTATGTAGGGTCTAGGGTTGAGGGCCCTAGGGTGTGGAGACTTCGCCAGGATCTTAATGAGGGCCGTGTTCAAGGCGCAATTCATCATAGGGGTTCGCTACGTTCCTTTTAAGGTTTTAAAGTTCGGGTCCCTTGTTTTGTTTTTGTAACGCCCTCCCGGAGGACCCTCCACAGAAGTGACCCGTACTTTCGAACAACTACTAAACCTAATCGCAACCCGCCCCCACGCCCCCCTCACCCCTGAATCCGTGCATGCATCCGGATTTTGTCCCTGTTGTGCCTTTCGAGGGCTAGTAGATCGGCAACAGTTGGTGACACGGCTTGGGTAGCCCACACAGAGAAACGGTGGCTTCATAGGGTAATGATGGGGCCCTGCCAGAATTCTAAGAAGGTCTCATGGGGACCATGTCTGTATGGGGGGGGGGGGGGTGGCCGAAGACACGACATTCTCATAGCCTCTTTGCAACCCTAATACCCCGGTACTATGCTTAAGCATAGTGTACAGCATCCTGACTAACATAGGTCATTGCCAAACCGGTTTATGGGAAGCCTCTTGTTACCCAAAAGGTGAATAGGCCACAGGAACAGACCCAAGACATCGAAACCTCTGCTTGAGTTGAGTTCTAGTATTCTGATAAGACGAAAATCTCAAACGTTCTAACGGTGATATGTGCACCCTGTGGCTAACACATGAGGTTAGACGTGAGCCAAGGTGCAACAAACAAGGTTCCCTACTAAACCCTAAACCCTAAACGCTGAACCGCTTAGGTTTCGGACGAGGGTCATAAGGTTGAGGAAGGTCCTCTCTTGTTGGTCAGGGGCACCCGCATGTTCCTTCCTTTGGCTCTGGTTTCAGGATGTTCAGGCTTCAGCAAAAGTTTCGAACCAGAAGCCCTACACCCCTTTAGGTTCACGGTTCAAGGTTCAGGGTTTAGTGTTTAGGGTTTAGGGTTTAGGGTTGAGGGTTTAGGGCACCGGGTTCTCCTGAGCCCACTAGCTCCAGTAGGCTTTCGAAATCTCGTGCTGCTTCTCGCGCAGAAGAAGCCGGGAGGTCTCACTGAGCGACTCCGCCACGCTCTCGTGGATGTTGGCCTGAACCTCACCGACGGCTAGGGCTTAGGGTTTAGGGCTTAGGGTTTAGGGTTGAGGGCTTAGGGCTTAGGGCTTAGGGTTTAGGGTTTAGGGTTTCGGGCTTAGGGCTTAGGTCTACTTGGAACCTCACCGACGGTTTACTTGGAGGGATTTAGAGCTCAGGGTTCAGAGGTTTATAGGATATGTGGGGATTTTGGGATTAGAGGGCTTAGAGTTTAGGGTTCAGGGTTCAGGGCACTTGGTAACCCATTGTAAGTGTAGCTATAACCCACATAGAAGCCCCTTAAGTACCTTAATTGCGTTCTAGTTGGCGTATAAGTGCAGTTGTGATTGGCTTAGAAGTACAGTTATAGTTGGGGTACTCAGTGCCATGACCAAGGAGCGAGTAGGGTTTAGGCCCTTTAGACCTTTCGGTGAGTCGTTCTGGTTTGCACACATAGGCTACACGGAAACGACTTGCAGGCTCAACCCTAAACCCTAAACCCTAAACCCTAAACCCTAAACCCTAAACCTGAGCCCTGAACCCTAAATAGAACCCTAGAGGCAGCAGCTTGAAGATTTGGGCATCTTGGGAGTACCCTAAACCCCCAGACCCCCTGAACAAAACCTCACAGAACCCCTAAACCCTAAACCCGACACCCTACACCATGAAACCCCTTAGCTTGTAACCCTCCCTAAGCCCCAAACCCGAACCCCACGAGCCTAGACCTTTTGAACCGCACAACCTCAACCAGAAGCTCATCATCCCCGATCCCCAAACCCCTAACCATAAACCCTAAACAGAACCAAAAAAAAACGTCAACCAGGAGTTCGCCTGGTAGATTGTGTACACGGCGAAAAGCACCTGGTGCATGAGCTCCTAATACCTAGACCCCAAAACCCCAAAACCACAAGACCCCAAACCCTAAAGCTTCACCTCTAAATCCTAAACCCTGAACCCTGGACCCGAAACCCTAAACCCTAAATCCTAAACCCTAAACCCTAAATCCTAAACCCCGAAAAGCCGAAGTGGAGTTGCACATATAATGCTTCAGGCATCGAGGGTTGAGGGTAGCCAAAGGCCTACATCAACACAAACCTCGACTGCCTCACCCCAGGGTTTGGGGTTTAGGGTTAAGTGAAGGATTTAGGGTTTAGAGTGGCCAAACACAAAAAAATCGCTTCAAGCCACAGAAACCCACAACCCCCTGGAGCCCAAAAGCACCCGAAGACCCCGATGCCATGAGCCCGGATCTAAAACCTCTAGCTGCAGCTTTCGTGAAGCCCCTACACTCCCAACCCCAAAACCCTACAAAGCCCCAAATCCCTAAACCCGAAACTCCGAACCCCTAAACCCGAAACCCCTAAACCCTAAACCTTCCGTGGCGAGCCACTCTACTTCTAACGCGTTGCAACGCCCTAAGGGCTCATGTACCTATATAGTGTAGGATTTAGGGTTTAGGGTATATGGATTCAAATTCCGAGAACTACCCATGCGCAGGGGTGGTCTCCTACTGGTACGATGAGATCATTTGGGGTTTTACGACATAGGGGGACCGAAATATAGACCCCAAAGAGTAGGATCTCCTGATAATAAGAACCCCAATGAGGTACCTCCTAAACCCTAAACCCTAAACCCTAAACCCCAAACCCTAAACCCTAAACTCCTAAACCCTAAACCCCTAAACTCCTAAACCCCTGAACCCCAAAACCCCAAAACCCCAAAACCCCCCAATTTTGGAGTCGGTGCACCGCGGCCACAAGGGCGAGGCCCACCAGGAAGACGGCTGCGCTCATCACCTTAGGGTCCACGTAGGGTTTAGGGTTTAGGGTTGAGGGTTTAGGGTTGAGGGTTTAGGGTTGAGGGTTTAGGATTTAGGGTTTAGGGTTGAGGGTTTAGGGTTGAGGGTTGAGGGTTGAGGGACAGGAGCCCATCGGCATTTGAATGGCTTACTTTTTGGAAGCTCGGGTTTAGGGTTCAGGGTTTAGGGTTTAGGGTTTAGGGTTTAGGGTTTCTAGGGGTTACGAAGTAGAGTTGCTAGGTCAAAAGAGCTTGCAAGTACCTCAGGATTTCATAAGGAGTGCTGCTATAACAAACCATAAACCCCAACCCTAAGCCCTACAGGTATAGGTCAGAGGCTGGGAGGGACTTGGGTCTCTGCGTAGGGTTCATGCGAGGTAGAATCCTACGCCCCTAGGCATGGAGCCACCTAATCTCATGGGTTCCCATAGTACTCGCCCTCTATACTACCCCCCTCTATACCTCCCAGGTTCCCCCCATAAAGAAGGCTATTTAGGGATACCCAAGCCAAACTAAGGTTCTCGGGAGGCCCTAAACCCTAAACCCTAAAGTATAGAGGGCGGTAGCAGGGGTTAATGTTCAACAGCGCTGAAAGTTTCAACTTGAAGGGTTTTTTCAGGTTCACCCCCCTCGGTTTGGGGCTTCGGATTGCAAGGAGTTTAGAGTCCTAAAACCTTATGAAACCCTAAACCCTAAAGCCTAAAAAGCCCCAGTTTTCGGAGTTCTAGGGTTCAGGGCTTCGGAAGGCTTCGTAGCTCTCCAGAGCTGATGGTTGGGATGTTCCCCATCATACTAAGAGTCCTTAATAGGGATTATAGTACGCCCTACTACAACACAAAACAAAGACTCTTAGTACAAGGGGGAACATCCCCAGCTTAGGGCCCTAAACCCTGGACCCTAAACCCTGGACCCTAAACCCTAAACCCTAAAGTTCAAAAGCTCCTGGCTGAAAACCGAGCCCGGTGTAGCTGCGGCGTCAAGTGGACACGAGGATCCCCCCCCCCCCCCTCCCCCGCTCCCACAACCCGTTTAGGAGTTAGGGTTGAGGGTTGAGGGTTCAGGGT